CTCTGTTGCGGGAGCGCGTGCCGTAGCCCGCGGCCATATCAGCACCCAAATCCTTGGACGACGGATCAGGGTTTGATGAGGCGTTCACGGGATCGGGCGCTGACTGCGCGTCCGCATTTGTGACTTTGGAGTCCTGCTCAAATAATTTGCGTGGTTAGCAGTGTATGGACACATGGGTAAGTGAGCAAGGTATGAGGCACAACCACAATGTAAGAGCAGCGCAGAACAAAGCCAAGGATACGTTAAAAAGAAAGAGAGAAAAAAGATTTCCGGATATTTTAACAGGTGTCCAAGTATACGTGAAAAACTCACATTTTGTTGCGCCATGGCATCAACAGATCATTTGCGCGGCTGTGAGGTGAGGCGAATTTCGTATGAAGGCATGCCCTCGCCAGGTCTATGTGAATGATGAGAGATGATGTATGTGGGAAGTTGGACGGGGCGGCGAGGTAAAGAATAAGTGATATCTTGGAGTCGGCAAACTTGTCACATGCAACGCCGGGGTTTATAAAAACAAGAGATGAATATGAATAGTCTCGACGAGACAGAATCACGTCGAAACTGCGGCGTATGGAGTGGGAGACAAGGTTGAAAGAGAAGAGAGGTCTGGTTCCCAGACGCCGGGAGAGAGAAAGAAACGTCCTGGCGCCCCCGAGGCGGCGGCCCTGGTTTGGCTCGATACGTCCACGCTGGTACATAGTGAACTTGGGAACCAGAGCATGGGTGGGACGGCACTAGCGCCCTGGGTACAGGAAGCGTATCTGCTAGTGCCGAGCCGCGGTGCAAGGGCACGCGAAGCGATACAGTATACTTTATATATACATGCCACCCCCCGGCCATCAAGTGTGACCTTGGTCTCCACGCAGGCCCGCCGAGTCTCACACCATTGATGAGTGGACGGATCTCAACCCAGGTTTTTGTGAGGCGTTCATCAGCGCCCACCTTGGTTGCCCATGTTGTTGCTGGCGTCGTCAATTAAACGTCCTCCGGTGTTTGCCAAAGTGCCATCGCAGGGGAGGCATACTCGGTGACGCACTGCAAAGGAAATTTCAGGACGAACATGTCCCGACGAGGTATTAGTCCCTGCATTTGCTCTCCGTTGAGTGTCACCTCGTGCGTAAAAGCCGGGGGTCCTTGCACACTGACGTCGACGTCGCTAACTAATACGGAGTATATTATGGCAAGCAATTATCATAACAAGAACTACTTAGGCCCTTTGCAGGCGGCAGGATCGACTGGCGCCCTTTGGACATTTGCCATTTCCCCAGCGCAATAAACGTTGCGCAGGTGTGTCGGTGTGTTGGTCAGATATAGTGTTGCCGAGTCGGTGCAGGCTGGATGAAGGCAAGTGATTCAGGGCCAGATCTCAGGGAACAGGTTGTCGTGATGACTTTGCGCAGAACAAGAGATCTCAGCTGGCAGTCCCACGGCCCAGAAAACGCGCCATGCGTCCGAGTAGATGACGCGAACACGGATGTGCGTGTCACAACTTTTTTCAACAGTTGTAGTCACGAACGAGAGTCAAGAGGCAGTGCTTGGAGACTTTGGACTGAGCAATGGAGATGGGAGGGATGGCGTGGCTGTCAGGCCTCGCCACACAATGTGATTCTGCGTTGGCGTTTCGGGCTTTGTTTGTCCGTGCCTTCCTCTCTCTCTCTTTCTCTCCCTCTCTCTCTCTCGTCGATATGGCATGAGAAATCCGCTTCAACACCCCCGCTGCCTCTCCCGTGGCCCCGGGCTGCGACCCCAACAAAATGATGTGCATTGAAGGTGCAACTGGTAGCATCAAACATCAAACATCAAACACATCAAAACTCTGCCAATACATCCCTCGATGGGGAGTCAGTCAGAAATGGCAGTCCCTGCCAAACCCAGCTCAGCCCATGCAGGCAGCAACCAAGCGGGTTGTCAAGGTACCTCGGACAGTCTGCCAACTCTAATCAGCCACGACTGCCCATGGGAGTTTAGTCTGGCCCTCTTATTGTCTCTACTGCCACATGGCCATGCACAAAAAAGCACACAACTATTGCAGGCAGAAACGGGCTCTCTGGTAGCGTCTGCAAAAAGCCAGCTTGAAGACGGGCCATTGAACCATCAATCGCGCGTCGCCTGGCTGGCGTCGCCACCGGGAACCAAATACTAGGTCGCTTTCGACACGATGCGGCGCGATCTGGTTCATAGATTTGGGGGTCCAACGCAAGCACAGGCATGCCAAGGGCTATTTGATGGAGTCCACCAGCGCCAACTGGGCAGAATCTGAACCGAACAGCTGGCCGTGTCTTACATGCCAAAGCCGGCCGAGAACGGCGTAGTCTAGGGAAATGACGATGGTTTTGCCGAGTTCTGCTGTCTGCTGTCTGCTGTCTGCTGTCTGCCGTTTGCCCCCTCTTGGCCAGAAGGATGGCGACAGCCCTGACGAAAAGCAAAAAGTGAAAAGGCCCAATAGGTGGCTTTGTCCGCTTGGAGTCCTGTGCCTAGGCATCTTTACTAGTACGAAGAGACGGTTGATGTCATGTCACAGTACGGATATCTTGTATTCTCCGCAGGGCCCAGAGGGACAGGCCCAGTCCGGTACTTGATGTGCTCCAAGGGCCTCGACAGTTTGCTCGCGGGAGCTTCAATATTGGATAGGACAAGCACGGTTGGCTGTTGGCGCCGGCTTGTGTTAGGACCAAGCTCTGTGCTGTGGTTGTCATCGCGAGATCGCTGGCGAGCAGCTGAGACACGGTAAATTGAGTCAAAGTACTCGGCAGAACTGGAACTGGCGGGATATTGTACATGCAGTTGGCAGGTCAAGCCAGGATGGGGAGGGCGCAAGGGTCGGCAGGATTGACCGGGAGGCGAGGAGGAGTCGACCCGGTAGGCTTCCTTGGCTTCTTCTTCTTCTTCTTCGTCTTCCCCAGCCCTGAAACGACGGGAGAGAGGGCGAATAAGCGACTGAAGGAATTCGCCAGCAAACGGATCGCGGCATCGAGACAAGTCCGCAAGGCCAACAAAGATGCCCTAACAAAACTACGTGCGTGGTCGTGCATACATGGAAAGAAGTGGAAAATCGAAAATATGGAGTTGACTGCGAGTACCCAAGCCAAGGTTCACCCCCAAGGTCACCCGAGTCCAACCGGACGGCACTGCCGGGGGTCGTGGCGCAAGGCTCGACGACTGGCTCGACGTTTGGCTTCGAGGCACGGCGCCGCCCAACCACCACCGCCATCGCCTCAAAGTCGGCCTGTTGAATCCTTGCCCACGATTGCACCTCGGCGACAACATTAATCTGAGTCGAATTTTGTCTATGGCAAGTTCTCGGCGGGATGAGGCCACAGAATGAGAGGAGTCGTCAAGATGGGCGACTCTCTTTACGCATCGCGATATCTGGCCAGTCACTGAAACGATGTTTCGGCAGCGTCATGGAAAACAATACAGGGACACAACCCATTACATTGTATTATAACGCGCGACGACCGGCCAGGGCTGTCTCGTCAAGGTTTCCCTGTCCAGTGTTTTAGGCGCATTCATCGCCAACCCTGCAATACATATACTATACACAGGTACGATGCTGCCGCCTCCTCGGATGCTCAGGGATGCGGTAGTTGCAGCATGTTGTACAGCAATGAGTCCTAGGCAACAAGCACCCGGCCACCAGAAAGTGCCCGGTTGAGTTGTCTGTCCCTGATCACAGACTGCAGGTCATGCTGTATAATCTCGCAACACCTACCTGCCGTGATTGTGGTGTGCAGCGGGACAGGCACAACTGATCAGCAGGCATAAAATGTCAGCGAGTTATTTTGGGCGTCTGGAGAGAGTGCGCTTGCAGACATGGTCAGAAACAACTGTAGAGTGTGGTGTGTGGTTGGGGCCAACGTGAGGTATGTACTTAACACATGCCAGTAGTGTCGACAGGCTCCGACAAGGACATCTAGAGCCTTCTAAGTGTCGATACAGACTATGCACACATACGGGGTACATGTACGTACACACTGCTACCTGGGTACTCGAGGTACCCAGTAGGTACCTAGGCACGTCCTAGTACTCCAGTCCGTAGGATGGACGGAGTGCTGCGCACACGTACAGAGCGCCAGGCACATCTGCAGTCGTCCCCAGACCATGCATCCCCGGCATAGGCGTGCAGGGAAGAGTTAATATGCATGCACAGGCGTGCAAGCAGGCGAGCAGGCAAGCAGGCAAGCAGGCCAGGTCAACCCAACAGGCAAAGGGGCCCCAGCCGTGAGCGTGGTCGAAGAGCTACATGTACAAAACTCAGACGACGGCAAACGGAACACGGATGGATGTGGTGCATCTTGGTCTCGCCAATCACCGGCAGCCTCGACGTCAAAAGGGAATGGCGCAGGGTTTTGCCATGCCGACCAATGGCGGGTCGCGGGGCAGCCCTCGAAGAGCCCTGTAAATCGGGATCAATATTGCAGCGTGCGCCAGACGCCGCGGGCTCGGAAGGGAGGGGGGTGTCGTGATGCGCAGGTGGGCGACATCTGGAGGGAGGTGGGAGGGGGGCGGGTGAATAGTGGGAGGTACAAAGTACATGCCTACTCTGCACCCTCTTTGCGCCAGACAAAGTAATAAGGTGTCAGCAGGTGTCAGGAACGCCCCGCGTTTTAGTGGCCCAGTGTCTTTCCGCCAGCTTTGCTCCTGCCCTCTTTAACCTGCGTTCGTTCACGTCACACGCTGCACGTGACGACGCGTGAGAAATTAGGAGCACTAAACACGCTTGCCAACTGCCACCGCGACATGCTTCAAAAAAGACCGATGGCGCTTCAACAATCGGCCCCTCCTGCTTTGAGTAGGTGTGCTGTTCGAGTACATGAACCAGATTTCTTTTTCAGTTGCTAATTCCTGTCAAAATGTTTTAAATCCTCCTTCAAGATGCAATAAAATCGCTTTGCTGAATGCATGCAGTTCGTGCATCAGATCTCCTGGCCGCCACCGCTTGTCGCGTCTGACCATGCCCACCCGGTCTTCCTCCTCGCGATTTCCTACTCACCCTCACCATGAAGAGCATGCAGGGTCTTTTGCACAAGACCAGCCTTCAAACTGCTCATGAACAGCAACAACGCTTCTTTGCTCCGCAATCTGTCGCTGGCCAAAAACGGCCGTGGTCCAGTAACGATGGCTTTGTTACGTCTCATCAACATGCTACTACTGCCACGAATTCCCCGTCGCATTCCATTGTTCACTTCCAGAAAGCCATTAGTCTTCCGTCAGCTCCCAAACGACTGTCCGCGAGTAAGATCACGCAAGTGTCAGGTCATCATACAACGGGAGAGTACTCACAGCGAAGGCTTATTTCCGCAACACCACTTTCCTCTCAAGACTCCGAGCTAGACCTTGCCCATCAGACATACGGCCTCCCGCGCCAAATTGTATCTAACTTTTCTTTATTGGGTATAAATCACATTTATCCTTGGCAAAAGAATTGCTTAAAAGGCCCGGGCCTTCTGACTGGGGAGAGAAACCTGGTGTATTGTGCGCCAACCGGAGGAGGTAAATCCTTAGTGGCAGACGGTGAGCCTGACTGTTGGCATTATCTCATTTGTTTCACGCAACTGATTATTAAACCAGTGCTTATGCTGAAGCGAGTCATTGAGGAAGCTGGTACTAAAGCGCTTCTTGTTCTTCCATACGTTGCACTTGTACAAGAAAAAGTAGGCTGGCTGCGCAAGGTGGTTCAACACGTCAAGATTCTCGATGATTCCATGCCCCAAGGTGCCGAAAATGGTCCCTGGCGTCGGCGAGCAGATTACGGTACAATTCGAGTAGTTGGCTTTTTTGGAGGTGGAAAAGTCCGAGCAACCTGGGACGATTTTGACATTGGTGTTTGCACATTGGAGAAGGTGGGGAGTTGTGATAAAAGTTGTACCAGCATAACGCTGACTTGTCATCCAGGCAAATGCCCTGGTCAACACCGCTATTGCTGATGGCTCAATATCGAAGCTTCGGTCTGTAGTATTGGATGAACTTCACATAATTGATGACGATCATCGGGGCTATATCCTCGAACTTATTGCTGCCAAGCTGGTCTGTCTTGGCCAGCAAGTTCAACTTATTGGAATGAGCGCAACACTTCCGGTAAGCAGATATAGTGCTACTGTCAAGTTCGTCTGGTACTGACCACTGGTAGAACTTGAATTTGCTCGCCGCGTGGCTACACGGGCACACTTATGAGACACGATATAGGCCGGTACCAATAGAGGAACATTTGGTGTACGACGGCAAGGTCTTTCGAGCAGGTCCCAATGACGGACTAGGGCATACCCCTTCACAATTGAGTAGCCAGGATGTGTCGGCAGGGAAGACAGCACCTGTCCGGCGAATAGAGAACTCTATGCACAAAGAATTCACAGACTCGGTGTTAAATGCAGTAGTGTCTCTCGCTCATGAAACTGCTTGCATGGGTTATGGAGTGCTGGTTTTTGCTGGTAGCCGCGGAGTGTGCGAGTCTGATGCTCGCTGGATCAGCCGGGTCATGCCCCAGTTGCACGAGCTTGCAGCAGACGTCCTTAAAAAGCGTCTGGATCTTTTGGGGGATCTGCGTAGTTTGAGTACAGGGGCAGACCCAGTTCTCGAAGAAACCGTTCTTTATGGGGTAGCCTTTCATCGTAAGTCTGGTTCGCCCTGTCACTTGCTTTTCCACGTCAGCTAATCAACTTTTCCCAGATGTAAGTTTGTTTGCACGCTGCTCTGAAAGCCGTTACTAACTGAAAAGGCCGGTCTAACTAGCGAGGAGAGAGATCTCATTGCTGCGGCTTACGATGCTGGGACCATTCTGGTATGCATAGCAACTTGCAGCCTGGCTGCTGGTATTAATCTGTGAGTAATCAAAAATTGGCCATTTCCTCTGCGAGATCACTCTACTAATGATGATTAGACCCGCTCGTAGGGTAATTTTGCACAATGTTAAAATGGGCGGGGAGTACATCGGTCCTGCCATGCTGAGACAGATGCGAGGTAGAGCTGGCAGACAAGGGAAAACGCAGCTCGGAGAAACATATCTGTGTTGTCGGCAACCAGACTTGGAGCACGTTCTAGAGCTCATGCATGCAGACATACCAAAAGTTTCAAGCTGTCTTAGTACAGAGAATCGGCGTATTCAGCGGTAAGATATTCTGTCACTATCAGCCTATACCAACTGACCATGTTGCTAACTTGTAGTGAAGAGCATTATTGGAGGTGATTTCCATTCGTCTGGCTACCAGCCGCGAATCTATATCTGACTACTTTTCCAATTCCCTGCTGCAATGGTCGCAGTCACCAGATTTTGTCCACAAAGGCATAGAACTAAGTCTCGAGGAGCTTCAAAGTATGGGCCTCATCATGCCCGATTCCTCCACAGGTTACGCTCCCACACAACTAGGAAAGGCTATCGTTGCATCGGCCATTGATCCAGACGATGGTGTCTTTGTTCACAAAGAGCTTGTCAAAGCGCTACGAGCATTTGTCATGGACGGTGAGATGCACATACTCTATGTATTCACTCCAGTTCACAGCTTTGGCACAACTGTCAATTGGCAAGTCTTCCGTAATGAAATGGAGTATCTGGATGAAAGCGGCATGCGAGTACTTCAATTCCTTGGAATCAAGCCCACTTCTATTATCCGTCTGTAAGTAAGGTCAATACAGAGTCGACGTCCCTACACACCACTGATTGTCAACAGTGCTCAAGGCGCCATCCTGAAGGAGACGACGGTTGAAGAAAAGCGAATGGCCCGTGTCTACCGCCGTTTCTACCTGGCTATGCAACTACGTGATCTTTGCAACGAAGTTCCTATTCATGCTGTCGCTCGCAAATACGACATGCCCAGGGGTTCAGTGCAAACACTATCGCAGACATGTCAGGGATTTGCAGCGGGCATGGTCAAGTTCTGCGAACACATGGGTTGGGGGTACGTAGTCATCTTGTCCCAGCTCACAAGCCTTTCAACTACTAACGCCAATACAGCCCAATGGCTGCAGCGCTAGACCACTTCTCAGACCGTTTAATGGCAGGCGCGAGGTCTGAGCTCCTAGCACTCTCAAAGGTGCCCTTTATCAAGAGTCGCACAGCGTACGTATATGAAACCGGAAATTTACAGTGTGAGAGGCATGCTAAATTCCCACGTTAGGAGAGTTTTCTTTGAAAATGGATATCGAAGTGTGGCAGCTCTAGCCAACGCCAATCCGAAAGACTTGGTCCCCATACTTATGCAGGTATGTTGTCTCAAAACATGATACAAGTAGGGCGTGCGACAACTAACCCGGTTAGGCACAACCGAATAAGTTGCGGATTAAGAGCCAGAATGATGAATTGATGGAAGAGAAAATGCTTGCTAAGGCGAATGTGATTTCGTCGGCGGCAAATAGACTTTGGAGTAAGCTTCATGTCCTGACAGGATTGATGACACGGTTCATGACATGCTGACTGGATGTAGATATACAAATGCAGGCTGAGATGGAAGAGGAATAGCAAGCATCAATTAGACAACTTGTATAGCACAGGGAACGGGTGTCACAGTCAGACGTGGATATATCGTATAAATGTCGGGTACGCTTGAAGGGTTTTTGGAATTTTGTGAAAGCCTACAATCTTGCAAGAATTGAAAATCATCTTTGCCTTGCTCCATGAGTCCTTTCAAGTGACTTAATCCAAGACGTCGTCCCTCAGGCTGAACAGCTGATGCATCACCTCATCAGCCTTGGCTCTCACAGCGTTATGGTACATGACGTTTGTCTCAAACACCTTGCTGCCCTTGACCATATCCGATGTGTCCTTGGCCAAGTGGTATTCAACATACATGTCCTCGACATAGGAGGCGGCGTAAAACGGAACCTTGTTGTTCCGCAGACGCGCCTCGTCATACAGGGCCGGCCAGTCTGTGTAAGTTGCCAGTTTTTCGGCGACGTCACGAAGGGGTGTCAACTCGGGGTAGGTATCAAAGTGAAAGGGGAAGATCATCTCGCCGCTAAAGTAGAGCGGTCCGGTGGACTGTGCTGCAGCGAAGTCCGGGTTAAGCCATGAATAGGGCCCGCCGAGGATCCTGCCAACGCGGTTTGCCGCCCAGTTGGACGGTCCCCGGGGCCCGTCGCAGTAGATGGCCTCGTGGAGAATGGCGTAGATGATGTTGGTGTCGAAGGGGGTAAACGACTCCAGTGGTGCCAGGGCAGCGCGCGTAAAGAAACCGAACTGGTCGAGGGATGCCTTGAGGGTGGTGAGGGTGCTGTGGACAGTGTCGAATCCGCCGTGGCCGCCAAAGGCAATGCCGATTGTCAGGAGACGCTGGACGGTCAGGAAGCCGCCAGCCGGGAGGGGGATCCTGCCCCCTTGGCCCTCGATGTAGGTGGCGATCTGGCGGAGGACACGGGCGTCCTCGGGGAACTTGGCGAAATACTGCTCGTTGCGCTCCGTCGTCTTGCGGAACGTCGCGTCGTAGACCTGGTCGATTGTCTTGCCGACAGGGGCGAGACCGCCCGTCAGGAAGGACTCCCGAACACCTTCCGGGTGCATGGACAGATACGACAGGGTGATGAAGCCGCCGTAGGACTGGCCAAAGGTAGACCACTGGGTCTTTTGTTCGGGCCAGCCTGCTGTCAGGAGCTTCCGGACAGCCTCGCAGTCCCGCACGGTGTTGTCCTGGCGCATCAGACGCAAGTACTTGGCCTGGGCATCGGCATCGCCAACATTGGCGAGCATGGCTGTTGACACGGGCGTGCTGAGACCGGTGCCGCGATGGTCGATGTACAGGACTTGGTATCCGCGAGGCAGGGCCGCCCTCGTGACGGGGTGGTCGGCTGGTGCCCGGTTGCCGAAGCCAGGGCCGCCCTCGAGGTATATCATGTAGGGCTTGGTGTTTTTCAGGGCATCTTCCTCGTCGGGCGGGAAGATGGGCGACTCATGCTTCACGACACGCCTAGCGTAGAGCTGGATGGACGACGCAGAGGGGTTCTCATAGTCGAGGGGCACTTGGAAGAAGAAGGTTGTAATTTTGAGCTGGCCGGGAAGAAGATGGTCCTGGCTGCTGAGCAGCTTGGCTGGGGGAATGTCTAGAATTGCTGGTCCCATGTTGTTTGGTGTTGGCTGTTGGCTGCTGGCTGTTTCTGGAGATGGGGTTCACCTGCAGTTGTGGCGTGGAGAGGCGGTGATCACGGATGATGCGTGGGGGAATCAATAGGTTGGTCGACTCCGACAACTCGACATGGGCCCATGTCGCTTCCATCTTGGAGCACTTGAGGCTTCGAGTCTTGGGGGATATATATAGTATGTGGAATATGTGGAATAATAGCTAGTCACCACGAAGGTACATGTGTTGCCTATGTGTTGCCTGTGCCGGTGTAACCCATAGACTAGACTCAGTGGGGAACTAACCCTTCAAGTGACACAGAGATTGGCAGTCGATGTGCGTGTCGGGATGTGCGGTGTTGATGGCATGGGTACTCCGTACTCCCATCTGTAGGCATCTAGGCACCGTTCCTGGTGGTTGAGGCACGCGCTGCAAAGGGTTGGGTCATCCTCTGCCGGGAAGACAGTAAGGTGATGGATAGTGGACGACGTGTGATGGGTTGCTTTAAAATGGTGGTGGCGGGTGGTGGTTGTACAAGATGGTGCATGCACATTGTACATGGTGATGTGTGGTGACAGTCGGTCGTGATGGTGGCCCACCTGGCAGGTACTACAATAGGTACTTAATCCAAGGCTACGTGCACATGTAGTGACATCAATATACGGAGTAATGTAAAAACAAAGACGGATTGTGTGCTCCCGCTTTCCACTATCGATAGACCTCTTGTGACGAGAAGATTTACTTGAGAAAGAAATACAATGCCGTCCAGGGTAGGACGCGAGCCAACACTCCGATGTCCGACACCGAGCCGAAGGGGAGATGGATAGTCGATTAAACTCGCCATCGTTCCACTTCTCGTCTATCGGGCGTCAATGGTGATTCGGAGGGGAAAGTGGAGGTTATTGATGGAGAGTACGTGGTGCATCTAAAATCACGCCGCTTGTGCCAATTCGCAACCGCCGCGTTTGATCACGACGCATGCTGACCGGCTTGAGTCTGGCATCATTCCTGGCCTTGAGTCCTGGTGTGACTATTCCGGAACCCCGTACAGAGTAACTAGTACTCCAGTTGTTGATTAACAGCTAAAGAGTGGCTGACGAATCAGCTCCAAACTGCTCTTGGAGGACACTGAGCAATGCTCCATCTCCACCAGACAAGTCCACTACCCACTGCCCACTGCCCACTCCAGCCCTCTTGGGCCAGTCACAGTCCGCCGACCCTTGGCCCGGTACTGCTGGGCCTCTAAATCCTTTCTTAGCAAGCATCGCTTCATCCGCTCCTTCCCTCTCTCTTTTTTTCCCCTTCACATCCAACCCTCGCGCCGTGGGCATGGACCAACTTCACCTTACTCACTCTTTGGCCGACGCTTTCAACGCTCTTGCTGACGAGGTTCAGATCCTGGCTGATCGAAAGACCGTCCTCGAGCACAAGCTACGCTTTGCCCATGAGCAGGTAAGCCTGGCATATGCCCTCTGGTTGCATTGTTCGTTCCTCCAACCCCCAAGCCTTTGGTCATACCACCACCAGGAAGCTTTGCTTGGCAGCGCCAACACGCCTCCGGCATGCATTGCACAAGCTGCCCTCACTTTCCCATTCACCAGAACTGCTGGTTTGCATTCGTCGTTGAATCAACATGATGAGATATCATTAGCTCTAGATCAAGAGCAGCTGGCTACAGCCTGACTGCCGAGATTGACACCATTTGACTCTGATACTTTTTTCTCGACGTCATTAGTCTATTCCCACCTACCACGCGCAGCCTTACAGCATCATTGTAATCCGACTGACATTCCTCCCCTCTAGTTTCAATATTTGGCGGACAAATATGCCGCTGGAACGCCAGAAATAGCGGAAACGCTGGCCAAACTACAGCTCCCACCGCACACTTCCGTCGACGACACTTCGCCCGTTCCCCTTCCGCAGCGACGCTCCACTCCCCAGCCTCTACACCAGATTGCTGTCATCATCCGTGACGGACGCCGAATGGCCAGCAAACTAGTTGCACTGAGTTCTTCGAGCAAGACCACCGGCTCTAGCCGAGAGACACTCTCCCGCACTTCTCAAGACGAGACCTCCATGTCCACCGCCTTGGAACAGGACTTCACAGTCGAAGGGAAGAAGGGCAATCTGCAATGCCCCTTCTCCAAACGGGTGTCGGTCAGCGGCACAAATGATGGCGAGAGCAGACCGAGTGTTGACCACACGCCTCACAGCTCTGCCGACCCCATTTGTGCTGCCATGTTCGAGGAGGCCACTTCACAGCCTGCCCCGAATGGCACCTCCTCCAAGTGCCCAATCCGCTTCATGGACAAGCATTCGCCCGAAGAGATTGCACACTATGTGGAGACCCACAAGCATGAGCTACCGCGCAGTCATGAGGTGTGCTTGCGTCGATATCAACGCAACGAAACACAGATCAAAAAGCTTGACTCCAAGTATGGCAACATTGTGAGCATGATTGAGGGGCTCAGCCAGCTACATCAACCCATGCTCCCGGAGTCGGAGGAGCAGTTGCAACAACGCGACGCAGGAGATGGCGATTCCAACGTCCGAGTCGAAACCTGGGCACAGGCTGTGAGCGGCACCGCCGAATCCGATGCCAGCGAAGAATTGCCCCCACTAGATGAAGACCGCCAGAGCCACTTTGATCGCCCACTAAAGGAAGTTCGCGTTGGAGAGTCACCCAGTCGGCCATGGGGTATCTCAGTGCCCATCTACGAGCTTTCAGGTCACGAAGATGAACATCCTCTTTCGCCGCCGCCAGCGCCTGTCAGGATGTCGACCGCTGTTCATGACCATGTACCACCAGCTGCCACGAATGGAGCTGGTAAATGTCCCTTTGATCATACAAAATTTTCCGCCGGCTTTGCTGGACCACCGCCATCTACCCCAAAACCTGAGGAAAAGCCCAGTGAACCGGTACAAGGTCTTGGGCTCGGGGACACGCCTTTCACCAACTTGAAAGAGGCACCACCTACCACCACAGGGCCTCCACCCCAACCAACCTTTATCAACCCAGCCTCCACGCATGCTGAGGATAGTAGGGGGCCGCAGATGGTCTTCACCGGGCCAGTCTTCATTGGATATCCCATGGACCAGGCTATTGAATTTATGAACCGCTATCGAGGACCTCAGTGAGGTCATCTCGTTCTTTGATGCTGCGTTTGATTTTATGCTAGCGACTTTATATCACCTGTTTTTTCATTTTATTTTTTTTCATCTTGCAAGCGTCGGCGTTTTGACTTTTGTGCCTCAGAGCAGGGAAATGAGTATGAACACTAGGAATCATTTGGCGGATTGGGGAGTTGCAGGCGGGATATTGTACGAATTTGCTTCAAAGACTAGGACTAACGAAGGGGGCTACTGGCGCACTCTGATTTTCATGATATCACATGATCTATATTTTTAACCTAGACGCTTTTGCTCCACGGAGCCCCTCTATGATAGTAATAAATCCACAGGAAAATGTGGATACAAACAATACACTATTACACGTATATTGCAACGATTGTTGTTGTAGAATTCAAATGGGCTCGAGCAAACTCGCCTGAGCCAAGAGACCCTGTATCCCACTGAAGTGATGCATTACTCAACCATCTAGTTTGTGTAAAGGCCCGCCAAAAGAGAAAAAAAGTCACATATTCTGAACAGTTGCCTCCACCCTCAAAGGCGACTCTAGTTGTATCTCGGTTTACACGGGAAAAGAGGCGGCGCTCTTATCTATTGGGCTTACGGCTGCTGTCGTCGTCGTCGTCGTCAAAAGTGCCCCAGGCGTTTGCTTGCGCGCCCCAAAGCGACACGTCATCACCTGACATGATGGCCGCTGCGTCCTCGGAGTCCAAGAGCGTGGCGTCGGTGTCGTCGATGTCGTCGTAGCGGCCGCTCCCTTGCTCAACATGGCCAATGTCCTGACCCTCCTCGAGGGCGAGTTCGGCAGCGCGAGCCATGGTGCGGCGGTAGATGGCGAGGCCGACGGCTAGACCGATGATGCCGCCGACGGCCATGCCGATGTAGTTGACGGCCTTGTCGCCGGCGGTCATCTTGTCGCCTTCTTCGGCGAGGACGGCCAGGCGGCTGCCGATGAAGACGTGGATGAGCAGCTTGGGGCTGTCAATAGCAGTTGGTTAGCTGGGGTGACGAGGGCTACTACACAGGGGGTGACACGAGGAGCGGAGGAACTTGCGTTGACAGAGCCGTGGAAATCGCAAACGACAGCGGGGTTATGCTTGGGATTGTGGCCAGGAAGCCGTTGCTCAGGCTGAAGGGCAACGGGCAGAAGCGGATAGCGGTCAGGTAGAGGATGCCGTCTCGGCGCAGGACCTGGCCCAGGGCGATGAAGCGGTGGTCCTTGCCGACCATTCGGTCGACGTATCTGCTCAGGACGGTGCGGCTGGCGAGGAAGGCGGCGAGGCTGCCGAGCGTGCAGGCCACGGCGGCGACGGGCCACCCGTTGGGGAAGCCGTACACGAGACCGGCGATGGTGTTGGCGGTCGAGTACCCGATGAGCGGGGGAAAGGCGGTGACGAATATGAGGGCGAAGACGATGAGCCAGCCGCCGGGGAGCTCGCGCCACGACTTGGCAACGGGCGTCAGCCAGCTGAAGAAGCGGTGCGAGTAGACAATGGTGAGGACGATGAGGGCCCAGCCGAGGAGGCAGCCGAGGACGGCGAGGACGCGGTACAGCAGCGACAGGCTGAGGTAGTACTGGATGAGCCAGCGACTCCAGTCGAGACATTTCCTCCAAGCTCGCTGGAGGAGCGTTCGGGGCGCGCTTGACGAGCGGGCGCGCAGCATGGCGTTGGAGAGGCGGCGCGACGGCGAGAAGCTGCGGCGCGACCAGCGGACGGGCTCGGGGGAGGCCCTGGCGGAGGAGGAATCGGATGGTGGCGATGGCGATGGCGATGAGGATGATGATGGCGGCGGTGGTGGTGATGGCGAGGACGATGGGGGCGACGTGCGCCGCGGCTGGTTGGCCGCCGAGTAGCCCGAGGCCATGGTGCGATGGGGTTTGTGCGGGATCGAGGCGATGCGGCGGATGGGAAGAGGCTACGGTTGCATGATGTGGTGGTTCTGGTGAAGGCAAAAAAATACTTGGGTCGATGCGGTGGCCGCTCGGATGTTCGGTGATGCGGCGGAAGTAGTACTTCGTGGGTCAACGGGTGGCGGTAGCAAGTTAACACATACTACTACATAAATGCTCAGGGGACGGACCAAGATGGATGGCTTGACAAAAGCTTTCCTGGTGTTGCACAATAATGACTTTGGTGGTTTTTTTGACAATGCAGAGCGAGACGCGTGGCGATGGAAGGTGTGTGTTTCACAGGCTGATTTGACGGATGACCCAAGACTGACGTTGGGTCAACCGGGCACAAGGGGGGTTTGGGGGGGTTTGGGGGGGTGTCACGGCGTGAGGCTTGAGCCTGGCACCTTCTCAGCTAGCAATCAAGGGAACCAGCGTGTGAGTGGCTCCGAGTCTAAGCAGCCCTGCCCCACTTGCTCTGCTTCGGCTGCTGCCGGCGTCTAAAAAAAACTGGTATTGTTTGTGGTGCAACATCACTTTTTGTCTTTCGTTTTGGTCATGGCTCGGCTCAACAGGCGGCCATGGTGCGCTAAAAAACCATTCCGACAACGTTATGTTCGCTTCCCATGGTAGCATTATTGCAGATGATGGTAATTATGGATCCTACGCAGGCCACACCTGGTCTCAGAGTGAGTGTTGTAAGCAAGCGATCTACTCCATAGCGTCGGACCTTTGCAACCCCGATACCATTCACTTACTACTTGCACGACTCATCTCCCCTGGATATCTAATGTCGGACAGCAATAGCCACAGCGGCCCTTTCCAACATGCCCTCTGACCAATCCTCACGCAACTCTGCACACGGCTCATGGCTCATCTCTCCCATCTCTCTTGTCCAAACTGCCTGCAGCGCCTAATGCTTACACGCGCTTACACAGCGTTACTAAGCCCCACTTCTGCGAGTCCCTCCCACCCTGTAGTTACTTAGATACTTTACCATATATGTCAAATTACTAAATGGCCTAGGTATCTCCGTAGCTACCCCGGGATTCCCAGCTCCTGCACAATTTCCAAGGTTAAAGCATTACTGCATGTCCTACCCACTTTAATTAACCCTCCAAACCCGACTTATACAACATCTGCTTCCCCCGTCCCCTCCAGAAAACCATAAAAAAATAAAAATAAAAATACAACACATACAAAAGCTTGCCATTGCCCCATTGCAAAATGAGAAAACACGCCGCCCCGTCATCACCGACCCTCCAAAGCGTGATGCCCTCCCTGCCCCCGACCCCCGACCGCGTATCTGAAGAATCCAAGCCCCTCGTCAACAGAGGCATGACCATCGCCGCCTTTGACGGCTCCTTTGCGCCGCTCGTGCGCCCAACCGTCCGCCGCAAGACACCGTGGTACAAAGACAGGGACTACTTCCTAGCCGGCTGGCTGAGCCCGGCCATCTGGAAGGCCGCCGTACGCTGAGATCCCCCCCCTTCTCCCAAAAGAAGACTGAAAACTCCATCGCTAAGCCAAGACCCAAGGTCGTCGAGGCCATCGCCACCTCGTGCCTGTCATATGTATCCCTCCTCGCCGTCTCTACGCTCGTCAGCTACAACACGCCCCGTATAGGCGGCTACATCGGCATATTCAACACCGTCCTCCTCACCATCTTCATATATGCCACTAGTCCCGCGTCTGGCGGCCACATCAACCCCATGATTACCTTTTCGGCCATTCTGGCGGGGATATGCCCCCTTCCACGAGGTTCGGCCAAGCACCCCCCTTCTACCTCGTGTGATATTATCGCCAGGCTAATCCGGTGACCGTAGGCGTCTTGTACATCTGCGGCCAATTGCTCGGCGCATCGCTGGCCGGCGGCATACTGACCGGCGTCTGGGGGGAAGAGAAAGCAGCCATGTACGCTGGCCCCTCCCCCTTTTGGCTTTTTTTCAAAACTGACACAATGGGGACAGCATCCACGGCGGAGGGTGTTTCTTCACCCCTTCCGTGACCTCGGCCGGCCAGGTCTTCCTCAACGAGGTCGCCGCCTCCTTTGCCATCCTGTACCTCTCGTACGGCGTGGGCCTGGACCCCCGACAGGCCGTCCTTTTCGGACCCCGGCTGGGGCCCTTGCTTGTCGGTGCTTCGCTGGGACTCGTTTCGTTTGCGAGCAGCGGCATTGCCGACGGCTACGGAGGCGCCCAGGCGAACCCTGCGCGGTGTTTTGCCGCCGCCATTGCGAGGAAGGACATGTCTTGTGAGTATTTTTTCCCTCTTTCTTCTGGTTGATATTTGAGACTGCAGAGGCTAATCTTTTGTCTGTTGAGACCAATGGATATGGTGGTTTGGTCCAGCTGTCGCAGGTGTCCTGTTGGCTGTCTTCTACAACACCATTCCACCTCATCATACTGATGATCAGCAACAAAAGGAGCGTCAGCACGAATCTAATGTATAATAATATTTTGACCATAAATCTACTGCTACTATATATAGACTTACAGCCGTCTCATTTACTTTTGAAATCCAGGGCATCACAAACCACGTAAAGCAACCTACATCAACCCATAGCATCCCTAGTGCACATGTGTATGGTTTTGTAAAGTTTTGTCTTTTACTTGCTTTGGCTCTACTTCGTTACCGTCGGCCACTGGGGCCCTTTGGAGGGTCCCTCACCAACAGTCTAACCTTGCCGTCGCCAATCTCAACGCCTTGACTCAGGATATCAACCTCTTCTTTCTCCTCCGCCGCCTCCGCCGCCGCCTCCCTCGCCAGGGACTTATCCCAGCTGCGTGCGTCAATGCCAAGAATGCCCCCCATGCTGTTTCTATCACCAGGTACAGAGAATTCGCGATATGCATACCGCCATTCGTTGAGAAAGCTGCGGATCGCCCTGCCGACCTTGTCTTTACCGTTTTTACTGTGATTTCCTGTGCCAGTGATAGCATAGACAGGCCGCGATTCTTTGCTGTTATCCATGAGAATCTTCTCCAAATATTCTACTGCTTCCTCTGGGTGAAGCCCGTGAAGGTCTACATAAATCTCGGCTGCGGTGCCCATATGCTTATTGCGATGCTCGTAAAGTTCTCGTGCTGCCTCTCTATGTGCTTTTCGCATCAATTCGTTTTCACTTTGTCCTCGCAGACTAAGAGCCTTGGCGGCTCTGGCATCGTTTCGGTTCCAGGCTTGAGCAGCACTGGCATTTCAATGTTAGAAGCATATTTTCAAGACCACATGCTGCTAGAAATAAATACCTTTGCAAAAATTTATTGCGGAGGCCACCGTGCTTGATGGCCTCTTGGCGAGCCTTAAGGTACGCCTTGTTCACTCGATCACCGGTTTCCAGCCAAGGAATGTGTTTCGGGCTTTGGATAGCCTGGGCTGCTGCGCTATTCTCACCATTCCTGTTGGCACCAGAGTTACCGTTACCTAATCTTCTAGACTCAAGTCTGGGCGAACCGGGAGTGGGTGAAGGTGACATCTTGACAATGTCCGCCAGGGAGTTTGGGATAACATTTTCCTTGTGGTGTCCATGGCCACCACGCTTGCCATGGTGTTTCTTGCCCTGTTTCGCCGGAGCAGAGCCAAGGGACGGGAACGCCTCATTATCGTCAATAGCGGGAGCAGCAGTAGTAAAATCCTTGACCTGGTGGCGGCTACCGGGCCGGGAGCGCAACCGGGGACTCTCCGCGCCATGGTAGCTTCTGGGCCCTTGGGGCGGATTCAAGCCAGAAGCTATGAGGCTGGCACCCGCACCGCCAAAATTGTTGAAACTTTCTCCTCCATGCTGCAATGCAGGAAAAGATGCCATATCCTGCAGCGAAATATTGCCCTGACTCTTGCTCGTGCCGCTTGGGTCATCCAGAGAAAGCTTGTTCATAAATCTTGATGGATCATGAGAAAATACACAAAGGTCGCCGGCAAGACAATTGCCCATGATCCAATATCTACAAATACAGTTAGATTGTGAAATGCCATATTCTCGATTATACTTACTTGCAGAGATGGTTGCTCAGATCGTGGCTAAATCGACAGTCGGCTCGTAAACACTGGCCGGTGGACATGTAAAACTTGCAAATGACACTGCCTTTGGATTGACTATTGGGCGTAACTGGTCGTCCGTCTGACGAAATCGACTTCCCGATCAACACGCTCTTAGGCTCATCCAGGCTATTCAGAGGGGGCCCTCCGTCTTGGCTTTGGCTTTCCATGATGGACGCAATGGTAGCACTCAAATCGTAGCCGTGTGAGGCCAGCGCAGCCTCGATCTCCTCATCTGTTCTGGTTTGGCCCAGGATTGATCGGAGCATGTCGTAGGGAGACATGTCAATCTGTTGCGAGGACATGGATGAAAACTCCGGGGCGGCGGCATTCAAAAGACTGGGCGTGCCGACAGATGATGATGTGCTGGCAGCGTCGTCGTTGACTAGCCACTCCACATTCTCAGATTGATAATCGCCGAGAATCTCGGTCGCAGGGCTGGCATCGCTGGCGAATTCGTAAGCGTTCAGGCTTGGACTGTGAGGGATAACTGGTGTGGCTAGGGCCAGCCGGGGGGATGCTCGCGGCGAAGAGAAGGGAGAGGCGGTAGATGACTTGGCCCTTTGGAAGGTTGAAGGGATGAAGCCTGGCGGAGCGAGAGGGCTCACGGCAAGTCTTGGAGAGCCGGATAATGGCGTCGGGGACCCGCGCCAAGAGGCCGGAGACGGTCGTCGCAGGATGGACGATCGTATCGGAGGGGGAGAAGCTGACGAGCCTCCTCCTTCTCGAAACCTCCACATTGCATCGAGAATTACATTTTCTAACGAGGAGCCAGTCAGGCTGGTCTCCTTCTTCAGAAGCTCCTCCAGCTTGTCTGTCTTGTCCTCATCTTCTAAAGTCGTGTCCTGCAGAATGGGCAGGCACAAATCGTAGTGTTCGTCCGAAACCATGATGATTGTGGCTCCTTCGACAAAAAGGGGCGTGCTTACAACGTTACGACGAGGGCTTGTTACGAAAGGGGGCGGTTCGGACAAGAAAGGTAGAGGCGATTCGATCCGTTGATGTACTAGTCGAATTTGCAAAACAAGGAAGGCACGACTCAGGTATGGCACGACAAATCGAGGGCAGACGTGTGGTCGGTGGCCAAGTCGAAATCAAGCGATGGATCAGCGCGCGTGAGCTTGAATACATGTAGTTTAGTAGGCAGTAATTGCAAAAACCAAGGTGGTTCGTGGGTTCGTACTCAGGTATGAGAGGGATGTGCGAGATGAGATTGAGTTAGACCTGCAACCTCGAGGTTAAGAACGACGCGTCCCAAAGGGGGGGGGGGAGATGGATGTAGCACGAGTGGCGAAATGCGGACTGATTTACGGGACGAAAAAAGCAAGACTCCAAGCCAAAAAGCCAAAACACTGCAGATGAAGGAGAAAAAAAGAGTTGACAGATGAACCGCACTTCAGAGGGTGGAAAGCAACGCAGGACAACAAAGGCACAAGGTGGTGAAGAATCGAAGATGCCCAGAGGTCGGCCACGGGGGGGTTGGTGGTGGTGGAGGTGACGAGTAAGGGATCCAGCTACTCCGTACCGGGATGGGGAGCTCACATTGCGCCGCGGCAAAACAAGGCTCAGATAGGTCACGGATAAGCCGTCAAAAGCGCCCGGCAGCTAGGTCGGTGGACAAGAGACAGAGAATAACAGCCGTCGAACTGCGCGCATGCAGACTCCGAATGCGCCCGGCGTCAGTGCAGGAATCGGAGCTTAATGGGTAAAAGAAAGGACCGCGAGCGATGACGAGACGGCCGGAGTGGGTTTGGTTCAAGTACTGCTTTGGCTGGGGGTTTGGGGGTTTGAAGGAGGGGGGTGGACATGGAGGCTTTGAGGCGCAAAGGAACATTGAGCGTTGAAGCATTGGCTTCTAGTTCCAACCAGCATCAATATTCGCTCCGATGTCCAGCTGAGGAGGACCTTTGTCCGGCCAAGTGCTACATGTACATGACACGGTACTCCGTACCTTCTTGTAGTACACACGGAGTTCCTCGGGAGTAATACTAGTGCTTCCCAATGTTGATCTGAGGCGACCACCGAGGCGACCACTCGGCGGCTTTGCAGCCTCGTCCCGCTGTGGAGACGATCCCTTGGCCTGTGCCAATTGACCTCAAACATGAGCCAGGCGTCGACTGGTGCTCCGTATCGAATCAAAATGGTCCGTGGTCCACTGGAGTTGACACCACCAGATTGTCTTCCACCGCTGGACCTCGCTGGACCTCGCTGGACCTCGACCTGGCGCTTGATTAGTGCCCGAAGAGATCAGAAGGGACCAGGACGACTGTAAAAGTTATCTACCACCAGACTGCACGAACCAAGGCCGCCGTGCGTACTTGACCCATAAATTACAATCAAGATACCATCCCTACTTTTATATCGCCACTGCTCAGTTCAAACACCATGTCAGGTTCGACGTCAGCTTCCCATCTACGGAATCTCGTCATCGTCATCCCCACCTCCGAACCCAAAACTGAAGCCTCCTCCAGATCCATCCTCTTCCGTTTCCTTGCCAATGGCGGTATCCCATTTGCGCTTCTTCCCGCTCTTCCTGTCAGCTAGCTCGAGAGCCTTGTCCAGAATATCTGGATACTGCTGTCCCAATCTTTCCCTGAACAACTCAAACGGCTTTTCCACGTTGCGTTCAAACCCAGAAACCTGGTCAGCCTTGTCTCGCATAAATAGCAATACTTCGGACAGGAGGCTAAGGCTGGGGGACTGAGGAACAAAGTTCTGAGTCAAGGCAATCCCGCTTTCAAGGTTGACAACAAGATGCCACCATCCACTCGGAACGTGCAGAATCTCGCCCGTGCTACATATGCCCTCGACGCATTCAGGCAGCCGCCTGGCTTCTTCGTGAAAGGTCAGGAGCCATTCAGCAATGCTGAGAGGACTTGTGACCTCGCTGCTGTCCTCCGACACGTACACACCGGGAACCTGAGCTGTCGGAGGGAACATGACCCAGTACTTGGACCCTTGGATGACTGCATTCCAAGCACTCGTGCCATTGGGGTCTTTGTGGAAGGTTGAGCCACTTCGCTCTGGTCCAATGATCAGCCATCGGTGCGCAGGGCGTTCGTCTCCGAGAACTTCGAACAGGTCAGGGCCGAAACAGTCTGGCTTCCAGTAAGCCGTGCCATCTTGGTGGCCGACAGTAATGCCCATTTTTTCTGCAAATTTGCGGTCGAAGAGATACAGTGGACTTTCATCCTTGTTGTCCCTCATATAGTTGCAATATCTCTCCATGGTCCAGTCGACTGCTTCCGCACGAAACTCAACGCTGGCGTATGCCCTGAGCAGCTCGTCTATAGTCCACTTGGAGCACACTGGCCAGTCCTGAATGCATTTGGTGAGAATAAAGGGCTTCTCAGTCCATCGTTCTGCATATTGTTCATATGTCAGGTTCTCCATCCGGCGAATCTGGTTCGCTTTGGGGATGTTTTTCACAAAGCTTGACAAGTCAATGTTGCTGCAAGCGAATGGCCTGTGCAACACGTCAGAAAAGACATTTCCGCAGCCTACTACAGCCTCCTGATCTTTGGACAAGGCTAAGAAAGTTGACCTCCATGAGCCAAGCCAGCTAAGGGAATGACCAGCCTCTACCGATAACCTGGTTCCAGCTCTCAGATTAGTGACCCAAGACTACTACAGCGAAATGTGTCATTCGTGAATAGTAACAACACTGCAACGGGACGCACGAAATGTTAGGCAGAACTTACTGCAAAAACAGGGCTTTCCAAAGCTCATCTGCGTGGCAAAAGGCAAACAAAAACTTGCAGGTCGAGCCGAGACTCAGTAAGGATTTTGCATCCACCTGCTCCAGGATCAGCATGAGCATCTCATCGGGCAAGAAACCCCATGTGCCACTGTTTGCCTTTGCATTCGATCCGTTGGAGAGGTAGCGGTTGCCTAACGGCTTTACTCCAAGTGGATGTGTGGGAATGGAGTCACCGTGCGTGACGGCGTTGTCGTCGCAAGATGTCGACTCAGCAGATTCATATTCATGTGATCGACGGACGATGCCGTTGGCTTGGTGGTGCAAGACGGCGGACGGCATGGTTAGAAAGCAGGGCTGATATGCTGATACGAAACCCTGCAACACCACGTCACCTGCTGTCTTTCCCCCCCAGATGTCAGACGTCGACTTGACACTTCCCTTGGACAGATATGTGAGCGCCAGGCCAAACTCAAGCAAGCCTGTAGACCGGCTGACTACTGATGGCGCCGGCGCCACTCTTCTCGGCTCGACCGAATTTGGCGGAATGAGTGAATCGAACTAGGATCGACGGCAGGACAAATGGTGAGTCACAGGTGACGATGCAGGGCAAGATTCAAACTGAATTTGTTTAGATACTGCTAGGCTGCCACGGGAAACAAGGGGGGGGATAAGGAGGGTGTGGCAGGCTAAGCCGACCCGACGACGTGACGGAATGTGAGAGGAACAGAGTTGGCGTGTAAGTTTTGTGCGCCTATGTGGTGCAGTAAAGAGGCAGACCAAGGATACAGTCGGTATCTTCTCGGTGACACAACACTGGAAATGAGGCGACGTGGGGGAGTATTGGGTAACGTGCTTGCTTGCCTCTGATGGATCAGGCTGGATTACATTGCACCAGACTGAAGACAACGACTCGAAGTGCCTTAGGCAGGTGCCTACGAGTAGATAAGCACCGTATATCGTATCGATAGCAGCTTCTAATCAATAGTTCATTGGCGTATTAATATCAGAAGCATTGTTAAACCCGATGGGGCAAAAAAAAAAAAACCGCCACACGAAGCAGGCCAAGGGTTGGGAAAAAAAAAATTTCCCACGCGAAAAGTTGCATACATATCCACAGGCGCGCGTGAATGGGGCGTGCCGCCATCTGGAGAGCAAGTCCAGTGGGCTTCAATGGACACGGCAACATGGCTTGAGTGGCCAGTGGCCCAGTGGCGGACTCGGCCTCCAGATGTCTGGCATCATCTGGCCCAGCGAAACCACTTCAGCTCACATTTGGCAGCATTGGCAGCTGTGGAACGCTCAACAGGTACCCTAAGCATGGGCCCACAGCCCCTCGCTCGGCCCTGATTGGCCTGCGCACACACTCAGGTGAAAATTATACAAGCAGCCAACGCCCCTCCGCAGATAATTTTTTTTCTCTCTCAACCCTTTCCTCCAAGGAACATCACAACGAGATACCACGACATTTCCTAGATCCCGTCAGCTCTCGTTCTTTTTGCGAGGGTGTACGAATCTAGTCGAATTTAATTTTTCTTTCACGGCCGTCGCAGTCTTCCCAGTGAGGAACCTGCGATTTTTTTTTCACACTCGTCGCCCCGCGTCTTTGACATTGTCTAGGTCGAGCTGCGCTTGATCTAGATTCTCCGCCAACCCTCTCGCAATCATGGCTACCGATAAGGGACTCGAGGACGTCCCCGAGGGTGAGTTTTTTATTGATACGTTTTGGCCGGGGCGCAAGCGGCCGCGGGAAATGGTCGCATCGGGGAAACCCATCGTCTGGGTTCGCACATTGAGGAGAGACACAGCGACCTCCCGCGCCTAGTCTCTCCCCCGCGTGTCGGTCCAGCAGACAAAAAAGACCCCACGATGCCGCTTCATCGAGGCCCGCCCTCATATGCTCCACACCGAAATGGCGAACACGTTCCTAGCGCAAAAGACTGATCAATTGTATTTTTTTTTCGAGTATAGGACAGATCGAGTCCAACTACGATGAGACCGTCGACTCCTTCGATGACATGAGCCTCAAGGCTGAGCTTCTACGAGGTGGTGAGTAAAATTCTCCTTTCAGGTGGTGCCTTGCCTATGTCATGGGAAAAAAAACCATACAGACGCAAAGCCGCCTCAACTTGAAGAGATGAAAAGATTCAAATAATTGACACCAATCCCTTAGTCTATGCCTACGGTTTCGAGCGACCTTCTGCTATCCAGCAGCGCGCCATTATGCCCGTCATCAAGGGCCACGATGTCATTGCCCAGGCCCAGTCTGGTACTGGCAAGACGGCTACTTTCTCTATTTCCGTTCTCCAGAAGATTGACCCCACGGTCAAGCAGTGCCAGGCTCTGATCCTGGCCCCCACCCGTGAGCTGGCTCAGCAGATTCAGAAGGTCGTCGTCGCTATTGGCGACTTCATGAACGTTGAGTGTCACGCTTGCATTGGTGGTACCAGCGTCCGCGAGGACATGAAGGCCCTCCAGGATGGCCCTCAGGTCGTCGTCGGTACCCCCGGCCGTGTCCACGACATGATCCAGCGCCGCTTCCTCAAGACCGACGCCATGAAGATGTTCGTCCTTGACGAGGCTGACGAAATGTTGTCTCGTGGTTTCACCGACCAGATTTACGACATCTTCCAGCTGCTGCCCCAATCTACCCAGGTTGTCCTCCTGTCTGCCACCATGCCCCAGGACGTGCTCGAGGTCACCACCCGCTTCATGCGCGACCCTGTCCGTATTCTGGTCAAGAAGGACGAGCTTACCCTGGAAGGTATCAAGCAGTTCTACATTGCCGTGGAGAAGGAGGAGTGGAAACTTGACACCCTCTCCGACCTGTACGAGACTGTCACCATTACCCAGGCCGTCATCTTCTGCAACACCCGCAGAAAGGTCGACTGGCTCACCGAGAAGCTCACTGCCCGTGACTTTACCGTCTCTGCCATGCACGGTGACATGGACCAGGCACAGCGTGACCTGATTATGAAGGAGTTCCGATCCGGTTCTTCCCGTGTCTTGATCGCCACTGACTTGCTGGCCCGTGGTATCGATGTCCAGCAGGTCTCCTTGGTCATCAACTACGATCTCCCTGCCAACCGTGAGAACTACATCCACCGTATCGGTCGTGGTGGTCGATTCGGCCGAAAGGGTGTCGCCATCAACTTTGTCACTGCTGAGGATGTCCGCATGATGCGTGAGATTGAGCAGTTCTACAGCACCCAGATTGAGGAAATGCCCATGAACGTTGCTGACCTCATTTAAACGTCGTGTGGTTTTACTCAGCAAGACCAAGCGTTATTTCTCTCTCAAATTATCCTCTCAGTCTTGACACTTCTCGGGCTGCTCCGTCATTCAGTGGCCCCCTTCTGCCCGCTAGCAGTTAACGGCAGTTTGGCATCTTTGGGGAGGGAAAGGGAAAGGGGGGAAAGAAAGTGTTATTAAACTAGGTTGTCTCCTTTGTTGCTGCTCTCCTGATAGATTTGCGTTTTCTAGAGTTGACATTTCGAGGACGGAAAACCGCCTCTCTCCCTTGCGCCTATATCCCACGAACCATGAACTGGGTGAAGGGGGGGGAGGCACCCACCTCGTATGGTGACTTTGTGAGGAGGAAAAGAATGGAATGGCTGCGTGACGAAGGCTCCGAGAATGTCCTTTGCACCTTAATAGTGAATTGAAGGTGTGGGTGGGCTTATCAAAAAGTAATGCAATAGTTTCTTCTTTCTTTACCTTGTTTTGTCACCTTTGGTGTCTGTATCTAGGAGTCGCCGTTCATGACGAATACTTGTTTCTACGAAGACGTGCCTCGTTTGGTTCTTAATTGCTCGATGTGAACGGTTGCAATGCATGCCCGGCAGATGATATAACGAATGTATAAACAAAGTCGTCAAAATATCCCGTCATGATGATATCCCTACTGCCGTCCGGCCCAATGCTCCGGTGCATAAACGTGCCAAGCAGGGGAAGTTCCCCATGGGACAGGGACATGTCTCCATCCTCAGTGGAGCCATGGTTCACGACGAACCCACCATGTTGAGTTTCGCACATGTTTTGCTTTCTGAAACATGGTTCTTTGGTGAAGAATTAACGGCGTGTGTAGATGGCTTGATTTGCCTACATTGCGCGCCTTGTATAGATTGAAGGACAAGCCCCTCTTCTGACTCCTAGGGAAGATGAAGGATGACAAAGATATGGCAGCACAATCACGCAACAGACACCAAAATAGTAGACATGACTGACTTTACAATGGAAAAATTATGGCCATGTATCCCCTTACTCTCAAATTCCATGCTCACAACATGACATGTATGAGGCCCCGCTCCCAGTAACGCCTAGAATGGTATAACCCAGACAAAGGAAAACTAATCGTCCCAAAAAAGCAGATTCAACAGTCGACATTACATTCGACAACCACCGTTTTTACATAACCCATGTACCACATTATATCCACTCGTCATTGGTTCATCTAGCAACCCCAAAAGTCATTTGGCCAGGAGGGGGGCTCTTCACGGCTTGGCCTGCGTACGCGCCAGGAATAGGAACAGCTTCGTACGTAGGCTCGTCGGCTGGAGCTGGTGCGTGCTGAGGCTGGACGGGTGGCGAAGGTGTTCTTGTCGCAGGAGGTGCAAATGCAGCCTGGACGGTTTTGGGGGTGGCAGAGGGCGCCTTTGTCGGAGGAGGCTGCAGCTTGAAGTCCGGACTGGGAGTGCCGAACTGGGATTGGGGCACGACGACCTTGCCTCCAGGAGTGAAAGGGCTCGTCTCGTCAATGTCAGAGAGGTTTCGGTACGCAGCAGGCGGGTGGCGAGGTGACATGGCGTAGCTGCTGAGAGCAGGGGACTTGGGCCCGAAGCCGGGAGTGTTGGGGGCAGACTGGGTTCGCAGCTGGGCGAGGTACAGGTCGGAACGGGCACGGTCTCTCATGTCCATCGACTTCATGAGACGGCGTTTGGAGTAGAATCGGTAGAAGACGATGCTGTAGAGCGCGATGCTGATGACCTCGACGACTACTTCGATGATGATGCAGATGAGGGTCCAGTTTTGCAGGCGGCAGACGAGTGCATAGTCTACTTTTTCGTGATAAATTTCCGCGCGCTGGTTGTTGGTGCATGCCCATCCCCACATGTCTTTATTGTTGCTGTTGTTCTTGCTGTGCTGGAAGATGACGGCTGTGACCACCCACAGAAGCATACTTAGAATGAACTGAAATAGACGCTGTTAGCAAAGACGATTTGAGATAGTTGGCGTGGTTCAGGAGTGCAAGATTTGGAAACTTACCCAGCCAATTGCAAACATGGTGTAGTACGTGTTGACCTTGGTCGCTCGCCTGTGGCCTCCTCGGCAGTATGCGAAGAAGACAAGGATACAGGCGAATAGCGAGACACATGCCATGGCAAGAGTCAGCTTTTGTGGCCAGGCTGTCTGCTGAGTGTTGGGGGCCCATGGCGTAAACTTGCTGGCAGCAGCCAGAGACTTTGTGGAGTTGAAGATGGCAAAAGAGGCCGACAGCATGGACAGGATGATCAAGGAACAGCTGAAGTTGACACCTCGGAGAGCAAACTTGGCCATGCGAACACGAGTCTTGATTTTCTGTAGCCATGATGTTAGAGGTTTGAAGGCAAACAAAAACAGATTCCCAGCATGAACTTACAATGTCCTTGACTTGCTCCTTGTCAGTAGACACCTCCCGCTTTTCGAGCATTTCCTCCTCTCGAAAGGTCGGACTGAGGGGGTTTGAGAGTTGTCTGGCGGGAGTTCCTGGCACCTTCATGGCGCTTTTGAGAGGAGACTTGGGACCTGCCGCGGAATCATGGTCGTTGCCGATATAGCCAAAGCCAACATCGCCAGGTTGTGAGGTGCCCTCGGTAGGCTGCTCGGGGTCGGCAAATGGCGACTTCTTCATATCGACAGGCGAGTGTACAGAAGTTGCTTCAGCAAAGCGAGGCGTTCGGGGAATCTTGAGTGAGTTATTTGTAGATGAGGAATTTGAAGAGTTTGACCGCTTCGGGGCCAGATTCAACGCGACTGGCCGCTTCTTCCCGTCAGAGCCTGTACATCACAACCATGTCAGTCGAGTTTCTCGGGGTGTATTAATTGAACAGCCAAATCACTAGACGACGGACCTTTTCCGGCCATTGTGCAGTCTTATTGTATATGGATGGAGAGTAAAAACGATAGGCCAGTGTGAGATCGAAAGGACAGCACAAATGCCTTGGTATGGAATTTATGTATATAAAGTGGACAGAGCTTCCAAACCAGCTGCAAGCAGAGCCCAGATAAAGAACGAGAAGCAATCACGAGTGATAAAGGGTTGAAAAGGACGGAGAGACCAGCTAACGGGGAACAGAAGAGGGCCAGCGGCATGGTGCCGGTGAGGGAGCACATCGCTTTTGAGAGCGGCGGCTAGAGGCCCAGAGTACAACCTGGTCCATTCAACAATAGTCCGTTCCATGTGCCACAGATGCCGGTCAAGTACGACGGGTGGAGACAAGGAACAAGTGAGGTGTGAATCAGACTATCATGCATGAAAGTTGGCGGATAGAGAATACGGGATGTGATAGGCAGACGCATTGGTCGGACTAGGTAGATGGCTTGATTTGATAGACGCCGATACCTGACCAAACGGAAGTGGCGTCAAACAGTGTCGTAGTTGCTTTCTTCTTGGGCAGTAGTTGGCGCATCTTAGACTTTCGATGGTGCTGATGGAGAAGAGAATCGACATGTGCGGAGATGAGACAACAAGAGAGACACGACTTACACTATAGAACTTTGCAGAACTAGCGACAGAAGCCAGCTGTGATGACAGGCAAATTGAAGATTTCTAGTGAAGAAAGAACAGAAACAAAACAAACTCGTGTATGCTGATGGCGAGAGGGGGCCAAGTTCTCATTTGTAAGTCGTCTGAAATAACATGGTGTTTGTGTTCCCGCATTGGTCTGGAGTCTGGATACGGAGCATCCAAGGAGGGGGCCAGCGGGACGGCATGCAAATCCATCACCAACTAGTACTGCATCGAGTGGCAGGAGACAAAGTGCTCACATTCCACCTTGGCAGGATGGACAAGCTTTGACCAGCATGCTGCATGGGACATCCGGCTCGCGGTGTTGAAGTGGTGGGATGTGAAGACGGTCGACATGGCGGACGACGACGTGGTTGGTCCAACCTCGGACCTGCGACATGGTTGCTGGCGGCTAGGTTATTTGCAGGGCATCTGGCGGCTGTCCGAGGACCATTGAGCCCTCGACGCTGGAGCTCTTGACGAGGCTGGCCTCCGATCCGACATGGTTGCATCAATCGATGGTGCTGCTCTGGGGATGAAAACATCAATGCAACTTCTAGCAAGAGCCAAGACGTTGCGGTTGGCCATGTCGGTGCATCGACGCCATGATTGGCTGTCTCCCGCTCTGGACTAGGTCGTGGAAAGCGGCCGCTTTGTGGACCACAGGGGAGCTTTGTGCATCTTCACCTCCGTTCAGCCAACCAGATGGCTGTCTGGCGTGACAAGCTGGCTTGATGCCGCCCACCGTGCTCAAGCTTGCAGGACCTGGGCGGCAATGCGCGCGTCAGGATTCGCTGCAAATGGACCTGATCCCACACGAGGTCGTCAACCTGTCGCTTCCGACATGGACCTTGCATGGATGGCATGGCCAACCATGGCCACCAGTTCTTCGTCGCACTCGCTCTATTTTTCAATCCATCTGCCTGCTGGTGCTTCTTGTTCGACAGTGCGAGGCCAGAAAGTATTTGTCTCGACGACCAAGGTACCAGTTGACCCTTGCAGGCGCCCGTTGTACGGGGTACTACAGGATACTAAAATATGTTTACAGAGTAGCTCAAGGATGCAATGGCATACTGGACTATGGAGTATTGTACATGAGCCAATATATTCCGACCAAGTTGGCTGAGACGCTGCCGAGCGCCGAGTACAGACCACGGATGGCCAAGGAACAGTCTCACAGACCCATTCCGTCAACATCATCGACTTTTGGCCCCCATGCATGTTGTTGCAAGATGTTCATCCGCTGCATGTCTGATCCTCCCGTCGCAAAACCGCCGAAAGAACCAGACCAGCCTCACATATCCTCACTAACATTTACCACTTTGCCCACCGACTTGGATCTTGCCGCCCGGGCCTCAGTCAGATGCAGCACCAGCGTTCGCAGTGATGCTTCTTGATTTGGCATGTCATCTCTGTATCATTGGTCAACGGAACGTCGGCTTCAACGTGCCAACCTGTCGTTGTTTCTCAAAACTGATGGCGTGGCTCTCACGTGAATGGAACTGATGTAGTTCTGCCAGGTACCATATTCTGTCTGCATGCTGTGCATCCTTACGCGGAGAGCTCCGGATCTGATATGGTTTGTTATTCATGCATCAGTGGAGTCGACATCATATTTGTCATCCCATTGTGTGACAATGAGTCTTACTTTTTGCCATGGTTGTGGCTCGCATATCCAGAACAAGTCCGACGTCTGCAATGATTAGCAACAACATGTACTATGTTGCCAAAAGGTTTCCTACAAAAAGTTACTCTTCCCTCGCTTCTCAGACTCCTCTGTCTATCTGGCTTAGTTGTGGTTTCCAAATGAAACAAGACCCCCATCTGCCAAAGGGCTATTCCGCCGTTCCGAGTAGCATGGCTACCACGTTGTAAAAAATGCCTTATATTAGGGCCCCAATTTCACCAAGTATTCAGAAAATTTGATTCTCGTGTCCGAATAACAGCCCGAGGCTCTAGCATGAATACTGACTTTAATAATTTTCTGATCTCTGTCTACTGTTGATTGTTGACCTAGAGCCCGAGGGTCTCAGAATCCCGCGCCGTGCCATTCTCCCACCGCATAACAGCAGGCTTAATTATAACATCATGTTGAAAAACTGGCAAACTATTTGGAAAGTCAACATGGTGCCGGTCCGCAAGCTAAACTGGATTACTTTCCCACCTCGAAGTTGCAAGTTGCGACTCTCATTTACATCCTCTCGCCACCCCCTCCAGTTCTAAAACTTGGGCCAGTCCGTTGACAGAAGATTTTTCGGTCATGATATTCTGCTTAAAAAAAATTCACACTGAGATAATGTGAGTATGACCACTTCAAAATACACCGTCACAAACTGGGGTAAGAGGTGTCCGATGGTAACTGGTCAACGTAGGCAAGATCTGAACTTTACGATGTACAATGGAGGACAAGATTTAGCATTTGTAGCATCACTTGCATCTCAAGGGACAGAACTTTAGGACTTGGTGGGTTTGAAGTACCTTTTTAGGGGTTCCGTGAATTATGATGCTGCTTAGAAAGGTTGGGAGTGAAACTGGGGTGGTTACTCGGAGTTGTAAAAAACCTGGACAGACTCTATACCACTGGAGGTATACTGGCAATGATAACGCTCCCCCCCCCGTAGGAATTAAATCAACACAGCTGATGCCATTAATGACGAGCAACAAAGATAAGTCTTTGACAGCCCGACCCACCGGCCGAGCTACTCTATCAAGCACTCTATACACGGATGAATACACGGATGAATAATGCGGAAGGCAGTACCTCCGTGGTCCAAAGCCTCCAGCAACCAGGATCAGGCACAGTTTTGCCTCGTCTTTCCCGCGATAGCAGCATGGTTGTGACAACATTAAGACTTACTCGTGAAAACCGCTCGCGTCCGAGGTCAGAGGGGCAAGCAACCGACTTTCAACCGGGGAGGGGCATTGGGTCGTTATCAGCATATCAGGCCCTAAAGGGACTAGCGTAGAGTCATCTCTCTCGCAATGACTGCACACGAGGAATTTTGACTGCTTCAAGGCTAAAACCCCAAGATTTTGTGAGCTTCGCGCAGCAACGAAAAGCGGCGATTTTTCTGCGTGAAACTTGTCGAGGCATTCAGTGAAGCCCCATTTTTCTGAATCCAGCGACTCTATATCCACCAACACTCCTGCACCGTGTGGCCGAGACCGAATTCCAAACCGCAAGGAAACCTGCAAAAGCGACGATTTATTTCTGCCCCGCCAAAACCCTGCCCGCCATGTCGAACGGGGACCCCAAGTACGACGACATTGACTCCGAGTCTGACTCTGGCGACTCCATCGACCAGCACAACGAGGTTGGCGATGGCTTGGATGAGAAGCCTCGCAAGTCTGCACTCAAGAAGTCCGCCGTCGCCCTCGCTCCTGAGCCTGTTGTACAGAGACCCCCGCTGCCGCCGCAAACCGATCCCAAAGATCTTGATGTATCCAGCCTCACGCCTCTGACTCCCGAAATTATTGCACGCCAAGCTACCATCAACATCGGTACCATCGGTCACGTCGCCCACGGAAAGTCTACCGTGGTCAAGGCCATCTCTGGCGTCCAGACTGTCCGCTTCAAGAACGAACTGATCAGAAATATTACCATCAAGCTGGGCTACGCCAACGCCAAGATTTACAAGTGTGACAACTCCGAGTGCCCTCGGCCAGGATGCTATCGAAGCTACAAGAGCGAGAAGGAGGTCGATCCTCCTTGCGAACGCGACGGATGTGGTGGTACCTACAGATTATTGAGACACGTCTCGTATGTGCTTCCCCCCTTTTGTAGCCCTCATCTCAGCGACCCGAAGATTATAGTGAGGCTAATTAAGCATTTTCTCATCAACCAGATTCGTTGACTGCCCTGGCCACGATATTCTCATGAGCACAATGTTGTCAGGCGCTGCCGTCATGGACGCTGCCCTTCTTTTGATTGCTGGCAACGAATCTTGCCCTCAGCCACAAACCTCGGAGCATTTGGCGGCCATTGAGATTATGAAACTCGACAAAATCATTATCCTGCAAAACAAGGTCGATCTGATGAGAGAAGAAGCCGCCCAGCAGCAATATGAATCTATCCTCAAATTTATCCGAGGAACCGTGGCTGGCAAGTCACCCGTCATCCCCATCTCTGCCCAGCTCAAGTTCAACATCGATGCTGTCAACGAGGCCATCGTCAACACTATCCCCGTCCCTCCCAGAGACTTCACCATGGATCCCCACATGATTGTCATTCGATCATTTGATGTCAACAAGCCTGGTGCTGAGATTGACGACCTCAAGGGTGGTGTCGCCGGTGGGTCCATCCTGCACGGCGTCGTCAAGCTGGGTGACGAGATTGAAATTCGACCGGGTATCGTCTCCCGTGACGATGGTGGTGCCCTCAAGTGCACGCCCATCTTCTCTCGTGTCGTCTCGCTCAACTCCGAGGCCAACGACCTCAAGTACGCCGTTCCCGGCGGTCTTATTGGTGTCGGTACCCGCATCGACCCTACCCTCTGCCGAGCTGATCGTCTCGTCGGTTTCGTCCTCGGTCTCAAGGGCAGACTCCCCGAGATCTACAGTGAAATCGAGGTCAACTTCTACCTGCTCCGTCGTCTGCTCGGTGTTCGGACCGCCGACGGCAAGCAGGCCAAGGTCGCCAAACTCGCTCAAAACGAGTTCATCATGGTCAACATCGGCTCCACCTCCACCGGTGCCAAGGTCGCTGCCATCAAGAACGATGCTGCCAAGCTTGTCCTCGTAAGCCCTGCTTGCACCAACATTGGCGAAAAGGTGGCACTCAGTCGGCGTATTGAAAAGCACTGGCGTCTGATTGGATGGGCTACCATTACTGCGTAAGTCTTGCTTCATTCTCATATTGCTACCTTTGCTCTTTGAATACATGGAGAGAATCTAACACTCGGTCAATAGTGGTGTCACTCTGGAGCCTAGCACCTCCTAATTTACAGACGTACGATCATGACGGGATGAGGAGCGTATTATGCCACAGAAGTCGGTTGCTAAAAAAGTGTTTACGGTGACAAGCGCGTCGGACGCCTGTATCCCCGGGTTGTTGTTATACCAGAGATGGCTGGGCGCAAAATAGGGGCTGGGTATAAAATGGTTTGCTGGGAACTCAGAAGAGGATGATGGCGCAGATGAGTTAACAGTGGCAGCAGTAGCGCATGGCGTATTCCTGACGTCTGCTGGAGCAGTAGCCCCATGTTGCTCATAAACCAAATGTGGACTGTACGCTGTAGGGTGCATCATGGGATCCGAAATCCTTATGTGCAACATTCATATAAGACGAGGACGTTCACAAAACAGCTAGATCAAAATCGAACTTGAGAAAAAATTTGGACATGATTTTTTTGTCCTCTGTTGTATTATTATTTCCTCACTTTCCGTGCATGCTTGACCAAGTTTTCTATCACTCCTTCAAACGCTTCCCTATCGCCTATCTTCTCGTCTGTTCGTTTCTTCCAGTATTCCAGGATTTCGTTGGCTGTTCCCTCCATGGCTTCTAGTTTAGAAACATGGGCCTTCAATTCTTCATTCGTCATGCCATCCAGCGCCTCGTCCGTGGTCATGCAGAGGTATCGGGCGGCAACCAAATCCAGCTCAGGCTGGGGAGGTGGTCCTTTCCTCTTTTTGGAGCCCCTGGGCTTGCCCTGCGTATCTACCGATGTTGACGAAGCATTTCCCTCGCTCTGTTGTAGCCTGGATGCGGACCTTGAATCGCTCGACCTCCTAGGTGACGAGGCCCGTATCTTGAGAGAAGGAAGAACCAGCTTCTTCTGCTTGGATGCTGGAAGAATTTCATCCAAGTCTACGGGCACACCTAGTGAGACAAGGAAGAGACGGCGGGTGCGAGACCGAATCCAGTCAGGTGGCGCAAGAGGGGGAGGAGCGACCAGCTGAGACCAGAGTGAGGCCGATCTTGGAGTGAGGAATATGGATGACTCTTGAGGGAGTGTCTGCGGAGGAGGGAAGACTAGCTCTTGGGGGGGAAACAGGCTGTCCAAGCATGGCTCGGCTGTCGACATTACTTCATCCGGCCCTAATCCGTCGAAATCGGGTATCGACTGCATGATGATGTTGTTAGAAGGCGGTTGATCACAGGCGGAATGGTGTTATTCTTACAAATGGTAGTGTGGATGGCTGAACTGTGGGCGGAGCTTGTGTAGCCGCTGCTGTTGCTTGTGGTTGTTGAAAGCCGTCCTCGAAATCATCAAAATCATTATCTTGTCCTCCTTCTTCGAAGTCATCAAAATCATCCCCGAAGCCATCCCCCTCCTCTTCGTCCGCGTTCTCATCGCCTCCATGCTCAGCATGTTCATCATCCGCTGCTATCTCTAATACAACGTCTGGCTTGGCATCGGTACTTGAAAAGCGCTCCGGGGCATCAGCCGAGTCAACTGGCGCCAACACGGTAACAGGTACTTCCTGTTTAGATATCTCGGTCTGTATTTCGGTCTTAGGATCATCTTGCTGGGCAATTTCTTCTGATTGTGCATCGGCTTCCCCTTTCTCTTTTCTCTCTGCGGCTGGAATTTTGGCGGGAGAGCAGCTTGAATCGGCATTCTCAGCTCGTGGTTTCGGCATCGGAGAAGTTGCATGTGGTGTTGCGGTCCCAGACTGAGCATCTGTGAACTGATCGTCTGAATCTGAAGACTCTGGCTCAGCTGCATGGCAGTTAGCATATATTACTGCATACGTTGGCAGTCATAGAGGTGCAGAATGCATACATAGTTGATGTGCCCCGGGGTCTGTCTTGCCCATCTCTGGAGGGGGCTCCAGGCCCTCGGATGTCGCCATAACTGTGGTATGAGGTATTCAACGACTTTCTGCTTGTAATCAATATCGAGAAGGCAATCTAGCGTACAATTGCTGTCGTGGTGGCCCCTGAAGAAAGTCCGACTAATAGTGGCATAAGTGGACAGGCCAGTACGGCCTCTTGGTCGTGACGCTCGGTATTTGCGAATTCCAGCCTCAGATCATGCTGTAAAGCGATCGGTGGTGAACTTAGGTCAGCGTCATCCGTCGTCTTTTCTCTCTCGGATCTGCTCGCGTTTGATACGAACATCGACGAGTCGGTGGGATATGAATGGTTATTCTAGGTCTCGAGGTCGCTCTATCACGTGGGGCTCATCAATTAGGTCTGCATGGTTGCACAGCATCGTTCGAGCTCCTCGTCGGAGGGGTCAAAGGGGCGGTGCTCCAGTTGAATGTGTACATTAGGTAGGTATCTAAGTCTAAGTACTTTGGGCACAACATAGAGGCAGTGCAGGGCGGAGTACATGTACCTTTGAGGCTGCGCCCAAGCCTCTGGTTTTGGCGCGGCCAGTCCAACCCAGACAGCCCGGCGCGTGGAACTCGACATGGCCAAAAAAAAAAGCTGCCAAACCTCGAACTCTTCCGCGCAAGCTTTTGCTATCTTGACGATTGTATCCCAACCACATCGCGACGAGCGTTGGGAAGGCTGTATCGGCATTGAAATCAGCCAGCCTTCAGCATAGGACTTAGTGTGGTGGTATTTTGAGACTTTGGGGTTTCTTTGCCGTCGCCCACGCCGCCCTTTTTCGCAGGTCCGCCCGAACCCTAGGAAACGATCCGTCTTCCAGATAGCCAAAAACACCATGTCGTTCACCTTCGGAACTCAGGGCTCATCGAGCGCGCCATCCAATAATGCGACAACTACCGCGCCGGCCTCTGGCGGCCTCTTTGGGGCTACTTCATCTGGAAACACTCCTTCCTTCTCGTTTGGCTCACTAGGTAGCACTACCGGCAACAACTCAACTCCAACAAACAGTGGTGGATCTATATTCGGTCAGAAACCAGCCGGCGACGCGCAGAAGCCAGCAGGTGGTCTATTTGGGGGAGCATCTTCGTCTTCAAACACGGCATCAGCCCCATCTGGAGCTCTGTTTGGAGGAACTTCCACAACACCGGCGGCTGGCAGTCCCTTTGGCGGAACAAGTAATACTTCCTCTACGCCTACATCAGCAGCCCCTGCGTCCACTGGGATGTTTGGAGGAGGCAGTGGCGCTCTTGGAGGCTCCAACACTTCCTCTTCTAAGCCAGCTTCTGGTACCTTGTTTGGTGGCCTTGGTTCATCGGCTGGCGGTGGTCTCTTCGGCGCCCAGACCAGCAGTGGACAGTCTCAAAGTACGACTACGACAGCTGCAGCGCCCTCGTCTGGTTTGTTCGCGAGTTCCGGAACTTCCTTGTTCGGAAACAAAGCCAGCACGACTCCTAGTTCGAACACGCTGAGTACAACCCCAACCACTGCCACTGCGGCAACACCAGCCAAGCCTATGTTTTCCCTGCCATCGACTACTCCAGCGGGAGCTCCCCCGACTGATTCATCGAAGCCCGCATCTACAGCCGGGACGGCCGCCGGTGGACTCTTTGGCAGTGCTGCGCAGCCAACCACTTCGTCAGCTTCAACATCCGCCGTCCCAGCTGCCCCTGGACTTTTCGCGGGCGCACAATCTGGAGGCGGATCTTCTGCAGGAAGTCTTTTTGGCAACAAACCGGCAGCTACCGCCGGAGCCCCTGCTGGTGGTTTGTTTGGCGCCCCGGCCAGTAGCACGCCATCAACTTCAGCAACATCCGGAGCAGCCACAGCTACCGCAGGGTCGGCAAGCTCATTATTCGGCGCGAAAGCTGCTGGTACCGTGGGTTCAACCGCCCCAGCTTCAACAACTACCAGCAACAGTCTCTTTGGTGGTACTGCCGCCAGCTCTGCCACCACAACTTCGTCTGCGCCTGCAACCGCTGGTGGTACTACGGGGGGGTTATTTGGAAACAAGCCGGCGACTACAATGACCTCTTCAGCAACCCCGGCTGTTACCTCAGCGGCAGGTGGTCTATTCGGGGGCGGCCAGGCTGGTTCTACTGCTGCAGCTAAACCTGCGTCTTCTCTATTCGGTGCGACTGCTGCCGCATCAGCGCCTGCCCAGCCCGCGGCCGCAGCCCCTGCATCGACGGCGGCACCCACGGCAGCACCCACTTCAACTATGGGAGGTTTGTTTGGCTCCAAACCTGCAACAGACGCAACGAACAAGGACAATGCCAGCAAGGAGGAGCCTAAACCCACGACCCAGAATGGCACCAACAGCGCCCTCGGTGCTTCTACAACCGGCCCAACTTCGCAGATGGCTAGACTGAAGAACAAGACCATGGAGGATATTGTCACTCGATGGGCTTCAGATCTAACCAAGTATCAAAAGGAGTTCAAGGAACAAGCTACCACAGTGTCGACCTGGGATCGCAGCTTGGTTGAGAACGGCGAAAAGATTCAGAAGCTTTACCTTGATACTTTCGAAGCTGAGCGGGCCAGCCATGAAATTGAACGTCAGTTGGCCGCTGTGGAAAGCCAGCAAGAGGAGCTAGAAGCATGGCTCAATCGCTACGAGTCAGAGGTGCAGGACATGTTTGCCAAACAAATTGGACCCGGCGAGCAGCTTGGTGGACCTGATCAGGAGCGTGAGCGCACATATAAGCTGGCTGAAAAGCTAACGCAACAGTTGGATGAGAAGTCTCGAGATCTCTCAAAGATGGTTAAGGAAATCAACGACATCTCTGGGACGTTGAGCAAGGGGACCAAGACCGAAGATCCTGTAAGTGACCATTCATTCCCAATATTCTGTTTCTCACTTCTAAGACAACTTTCACAGTTGAGCCAGATCGTGCGGGTTCTCAATGGCCATCTCACGCAGTTGCAATGGATTGATGCAAATGCATCGGCGTTGCAGGCCAAGGTTTCGGCTGCACAAAAGTCCAGCGGCTCCCTCAACAACCACTACACTGGACCAGAGAGCGATGCTGCCGAGGGTTTCTACCGCTCTTACTACGGACGCCGATAAAAAGGCAGGCAAATAGTTGACATGGCCTTTTGGAATATATGGAACGGAGTACTGGAGGACAATCGGGCCGATGACATTTTCTGGCAATCACATGTTTTTGAGGGGAAGTTTAATGGAGACACAGAGCTGAAATATTGTCCCGATACTCGAAAATTACAACGAGTAGCAGGTATTTGTACACTAGCCTAGACTGTGGCATAATCACACAAGTCTTTGATGATGAAAAAAAGATTGTTGCCACATTGTTTTCCAGTTCTTCCTTTCCTTGGGGTGTAGTAGATAGATGCAACCTTTCGGCAAGAAATCGTAACCTTGGTGTCTGAAGCTTCTACAGTCGCGTCGGAGGCGTAACCAGCGGGCGTCCGGGACGATATCTAGTTCTTCTCGCCACCCTGATCGCGGGTGATCTCCTCACTACGCAGGTGTTCTGTTAGTATCAACCCATATCATTTCCGAGTCGCATCACGCATTTCGGGGACAAATCAAGACAGGGACTTCAGACTAACATGTGGTCAGAGAGGCGCTGAAGGTGCTGCTGCTGTTCAGCGAGCTTCTTCTTGAGCTCGAGGAGACGCTCCTTCTCACGCTGGCGGATAGCCCAGTCCTCGCTGGCGCGCTCACGGCGCTGGAAGGCGTCACTGTAGAGAAACCAATCCCCCCAGTCAGTCAATGGACTAGAAACTTCAGTTTGCATAGAGGAAATCTGCTGTCTTTCCCAGCGGTCTTCGGCGAGGGGCAAAAGCTGGGTTGCAGAGGAAGAAAGTAACTCACCCAGGGCCGCCGGTCTTGGGAGGCGCGCCGGTATCACCCTCGCTCATGGCTCGAGCAGTAGTGGTGAAGGTAGCTCGGAGGGGACGGAATGCGGCCGTCTTGGAAAAGGTTGTGCGGAGCATGATGGGCACAATTGGGATGCGAGTGTGGGAGGCAGAGTAATGGTGGTGGTGGTGTTTTGCGGTATGACGTGCGGGCAGTATCGAGGTTTTGAGGGAGCTCGGAGAATGGGCTGATGCTATGCGCCACATGAGTGGCCAGAGCTCGGCAATAGTAGGGTACATGATGCATGTGCCACGGCGCATGAAAACAATATGTATTTTTCCAACATCGTCGTCGCTGCTGCCTCTTTGATCCGAAAATTTCCACTCACGACGAACGGATACAAGCTTGGGGAACAGAACCCAATCCGTGTCTCTTGATGTAAAATAATGCAGGCGCTATTATTTTGCAGTACTACTTCCATCTATGTTTACGCCTGGCTTTGCTTATGTCATGGCATGTCTCAAATGCACAGTCTGATTTGGCAACGCCAACGGCAGCACGTCCAAGGTTCATCACACCTTGGAGCCAGGTAGGGTTATTCCCGCTACGGAAGAAAGATATTAAAAGACCGTAGAAAGGGCAAGCGATATACCGGGTTCTGGTGGACACGTTCGTTCTGGCGGGCATCAGTTCTACCGCCCAGAAATAAACTGCTGGGCATTGGCTGCTCGGTACGCCGTGCTGTGGGGAGAGGCACAGCATAATAATGCTTGACCATTCGCATGAACAGGGCTGACAAAATTTCGGCTTTCCAGGCAGAAATGGGCTGCATGAATATACCGGCATTAAACCCGTGGAGCGGCAGAGCGTTGAAACGATGGCGGGTTATGACGGATATCCCAATGTTACGGAGCACCATATCGATACGCAAGTGGCGGGCGCCGTGAAACTGAGGCTAACCTTGGGAGCGAACTTGTTGTACAGAGAACTCCAGGAAATGACTATAGCGTCCCACGACGACCGGATACTAATACTATTCGACGTAGACGACGATCAAAACTTTGCCGAAATAATACAGGGACAGGGGACACGGGGAGTGATAAAGTGAGGATGAGTAATGGAGGGGGGAGCCTTTCCCTTGAGCCCCGTGAGCGTGCATCAAGATTCAATGTTCGACCCCACTTCCCTTAAAGGCAGCAGAGACTTGCCCTAGCACGGGGTCGTGAGGCGAAGGTACAAAATACACCAGTCTTTACACAGAAGCCTTGACCGCGGAGCGAAAGGGAATCGTTATCAGCAAGGCAGGGCTGCGGCAATGGCTACATGTTCTGGCCTTATGGCGCTGATTATTCGCGTCATCACGACGGACTCTTGACACCAAATCTGGGAGGTGTCACTGTTCTCGGAGGAGAGCACTGCGTCCTGGGTACCTAGTAGGTACTTGATCAACTGAGCTCTGTCGCCACTCAGCACCGCAGTGAGGCCATCGTGTTTGTATCTGCTACACAAGGTCGCTGCTTGCCACGCAGAACACACCGTGGCAGATGCTCCACGCACCAAGTATCCGATACTTGGCCTGCCCAAGGAGATATGCTCTGAAGCACCTTGCACCCTCTTGTTGCCGGTGACAAGTACTTCGAATGCTGCTAGGTTCGGGCGGGCTCGAGGGCGGGCTGAAGTTGAAGTGAAGTGGGCAACGGGTTAATAACAACAGGTCACTAGCAGCTGAGCAGAGAGCAAGTCATACACCTGGTTATGTGAGGCGCGAGGCGCAACCTGAAGCATAGAAGAGCAAATAATCCACCGCCCAGAGCCCACTTGGAATCAGCGCTAGGGCAGCTACAGATGCTTGAAGACATCAAAGGCAGGGCGGGTGGCGATCCAAGTCAATCACTGCGAGGGACTGGAGCTAGGTGGCCCCCGCACACCGCAGAACCAGGCTGGACTGGCACTGGCTGCCTGGCAACTTGTCAAGTGCGCAGGTGAGCAACTCGGCAAGCTGTTGTTGGCCATGGCTGTTGGCCCAAGGTTTGGCGGCTGGCTGCTGGCTGTGTCTGCTTAAGTACAGTACTCAAGTACCTAGGTAAGTACTGCCACATACCAGATCTGTTGGCTGGTAGATGCCCAGCCTCAAGGTACCTATGAGGTACAGTTGGTCGATTATATCTGCCCACATACAAGTATGCACTAGCATACTGTAGTATATTATAGTACAGAGTGTGATGTCCCGGTACCTGATCTGGTGAAATGCTTTTTGCCTCCCTCTGTACTTGGAATTAGGTTCACTGTTCACTGCCTGCCTGTGCTGCTGGCTGCTGCTGGGCTGCTGGGTTCTGGCCTCCGTCCCGAGCCCCTTCTCACTTTCCATCACATCCCACGCTTTTCGCTCATCAAACATCAAATCTAAACTCCCAACAAACAACAACCACACCCATTCGCGGCCACGCTGTCGTCCCGTGTTCAGCTCCCTCCTCCTGATCCCCCTCCCGAATACTTTCTCGTCCAACTGCCAACTTTCCACGTTCGGTATGTGCCTCGCCTGTCGATTTTGAAATGTGCTGTCCATCTCTGCTGCTTCATCCATGCGGCGCACCCCTCCCTCCCCTCTGTCGTCATGGCGCCTCCTCCCACGCCTGCTCCCTTGGGCGAGGAAGTTTGTGATGCACCGCTCCTACAGCCTCATCACCGCAACCGCCAAGCACTGTTGCTGCGCTGCACGAGCCATCGAAATTCTTCAGCCCTGGCAACGTGTGTGCCGTATTCCATTGGAGACTCAAACGCGCCTGCTCGACTCAAAACGAACTTGCTGTCGTCTCCTCGACCCCCACCAGAGACGAGAAATTGGCTTACGCAGAGCCGACGGGAATGCCCACAAGGCTTCCCTCGCCTTCGAGACACCGAGTCCTTGTTGGCTTCGTCTGATGGTGCAAATTGGCCATGGCCTCGAGATTGATGGTGTTTCGAGCATGCACCTGCCTACTTGACTGTCGATGGCCTCTGACCGCCCTCGTGCCACGAATCTCGGAGTCTACGGACGTGGTCTGACGGGGCTGGGCCGCAACACATGATGCGACTTTATTACTTCCGAAATTGCTTCCATCACGAGCTTGCGCTAACTTGTAATTGCTCACGCACTAGCCAAAACCACCATCAAAATGGGTCACGAAGATGCAGTCTACCTGGCCAAGCTCGCCGAGCAGGCTGAGCGATACGAAGGTTAGTCCGTCCTGTTGTCTCACAACTAAACCCCTGTCTACGGGGAGGGCTTTGCGCTGACTTGTTCGCCAACTTTTATCTAGAGATGGTCGAGAACATGAAGATTGTCGCCTCTGAAGACCGCGACCTGACTGTCGAGGAGCGCAACCTTCTGTCCGTCGCCTATAAGAACGTCATTGGTGCCCGCCGTGCCTCCTGGAGGATAGTCACTTCTATTGAGCAGAAGGAGGAGTCTAAGGGCAACTCGTCCCAGGTCACCCTCATCAAGGAGTACCGACAGAAGATTGAGGCCGAGCTCGCCAAGATTTGCGACGATATTCTTGATGTCCTCGACCAGCACCTAATTCCTTCTGCCAAATCTGGCGAGTCCAAGGTCTTCTACCACAAGATGTATGTTGAGCCATGTTTCCAATATGGACCAATCAGCCCATTCACACCGTGTTTTTTGCCTTTGCCTAATATCGTCCTTCAAACTGTACAGGAAGGGTGACTACCACCGTTACCTCGCCGAGTTCGCCATTGGCGACCGCCGCAAGGACTCTGCCGACAAGTCCCTCGAGGCTTACAAGGCTGCTACTGAGGTTGCTCAGACCGAGCTCCCTCCCACTCACCCGATCCGCCTGGGTCTTGCCCTCAACTTCTCCGTTTTCTACTACGAGATCTTGAATGCCCCCGACCAGGCTTGCCATCTTGCCAAACAGGCCTTTGATGATGCCATTGCTGGTATGTTGATCGAAGCCATCCTATCTATCTCTTGACATATCCAATTGGAAACACATCTAACGCCTTGGAACAGAACTTGACACTTTGAGCGAGGAGAGCTACAAGGACTCCACTCTCATTATGCAGCTTCTGCGTGACAATCTGGTACGTATAGAGAGTCTATTGAGTGCTTGTAGTCACCGGCTAACATACCCTGATAGACTTTGTGGACTTCATCCGAGGCCGAGACCTCTGGTGCCGCTGGCCAGGCCGATGCTCCCGCCAAGGAGGAGTCTGGTGCTGCTGCTGAGGCTCCTGCTGCCACCGCCGAGCAGACTAAGGCCTCTGAGTAAAATGGGTGATTATGTTGCCAAAATAAATGCTTTGATCACTATGGTATCCGGCGGGCTGGTGTCTACGGAGTGGACGGAAGACTCGTTATTTTTTTTTTGTGTTTGATCAAGAGCTTCGGCATCTTTTAGGTAAACGTGCGTATACAATGGATGGAGACGTCGAATATGCCCCTACGGGCTGGTACTGAGGCCTAAAGGAGAGCATTTTTTATTGGAAGTTCTGCTTTTAGACCCTTGATGCTTGCGATTGTCTGGACAAATAAAAAATACTAAAATTGCTTTCAATACACGAAACAAATGGGCCCAAACTTTGCCGCCCAAATACTTGCGTTGCGCCGTTGAAATTGCCCGTGGTAGATTGCTGCATTACACGACCGTTGCTGTCCACGACAGGGGACCTGGAGCTGTTCACTTCGAGAGCCACTCTATAGGGCCCAATGGCCACGATGGGTTTGTCAACTTTGATCTATTGGATCTTCATCTACAGGTATAACATCATCCACCACGGCAAAATGAACCCGTAGCCACAAACTACAATCCTGACAACCCACCATCAGCTCACCCTCATCCTCAACCTCTATCAGATCTTCCTCCTCAAACAAATAGCCCCTCAGGTTCCCACACCGACATGATCTGTACCACCGCTCCTTGGCCTCGTCGTACGGCAAATCGTCCAAATCTACATTCTCAACGCCCGTCTGAAACCTCTGCGCTGAATCCGGTCCAGCGGCGCCGGAAAACGTCTGAGCCTGACGGAGTTTGGTGTCGTACTCTGTGCGTTGCCGGGGGGAAGAGAGGACCGTGAACGCGGTGGTGATTTGGTCTATTGAGAATAGTGCTCCCGGTGGAGTGTTGGCGTGTGAGATGGTTTTGTCGGGGTGGTTGCGGAGCAAGGCTCTGTGGTAGGCCTTCTTTATGAGTTTGGCGGCGTCTGGTGACTCGTCGATGATGGAGGGCGTGAGGTTGAGGATCTCATAATGTGTTGGGGGCTGTGGCGGGCTCATTCTAGATGAAGCCTGGGCGGGTGTGATTTTCCGTTTCTTTTCAGAAATTACAGTTATACCGAGGGGATTTTTTTTTTTTGGCGCTCCAGAGGGTGGTTGATGTTGAGAGTGGTGATTTTGGTGTTGTGAATTTCGCGGCTGGTCACGTGATTTGGTGATGGAGAGTCTTTGCGATTTAGAGATCATGTTATATTGTGCTTTGTGTAAATATGAAGATGGGGAATTATTCTTCATGTGAAGAGTTACGGTTTCTGATTTCTTTGCTGATACGTAGAGTTGAATGAAATCATTTCCTTTGTACATAAATTTAATACACATATGCGGGTTTAGAGATGACAATGCTAATACTATGTATGAAGTTTTATTTTCCTTTGGTTATACAATAAAATACACAGAGTATATACAGTGTCTCCTGAGAACGGCATATAATCCATCGCTGCCATTGCGGTTTGATTTATTTGGGCCATTTGGTCCAGTTCTTCTTTCCCACCTGTTCGCCTGGTTAGCACATGAGACTTGGACAGCAGGTTATTCTTCTTTTCCTTTGTACGTACCCTCTTCCAAGCTTTGATCAGCTTGGGCATCTCTAGCATTGCCTTTCTTCTCTCTTCCATCCTGAACACCATCGTTAGCATAACCGCCGCAGAAGCCCACACGCTTGAGGTTTTGACAGAGTTGACATACTTTGCAATCATGTGTCGTTCGTGAATGTGACCCTTGACCTTTTGTCCCACACCGGTACCCTTCACTCTCAAACCGTGCTCGACGCGGTGTGCAAGTCGGTATTCGGTTCCCTTGGTCGTCTCGGGAAGAAGATCCTCGACGCCGTGCTCCCGTGCTAATTGTACGAGCTGTGCTTGTCGGCGGTATGAGTACACTGGGTCGTGCCATTTCCCTGTAACGGGGTGCTTGTAGAATCGGAACGGATCAGGTCGCTGCTCCTGATACTGGGTTGGAGAAGATCCCGGGGACTGGACTGCCGCCGGCGGCCATCGAGCAAAGAATCGCTGTAGGGGTTCGGGCAGCGTCCTGGCTAGCTGGATGTATTTTGTTGCCGAAGCCATGGCGTCTTGTCGCGGTGTGATCCTGCTCACTCGTCTGAAGCAGGAGCACCTCTTCAATATGATACAAGATACTGGATCGGCCGGAGGAGCCTGGCGGTCGGGATGCGTTGATGGGATCGAATTGACCGAGGTAGGAGATTGAAAGCTCGACAAGCACGTCGACAAGCGAAGCTGATCTCGGTATCGAGGCTGCACTGCGACTTTTGCAAGACCCATGTTGGCGCTTGAGACCCCTGTATTTGCAGTATCTAATTGGCCAGATTTGAGCTTGTCGCATGTGGACCTCTGAAAGCCCGGCAGCCTTGCCTAAATTGCCTCTGAGCTAGTCGTGGGTAATTCTACTTCTTGTCTGTTACTCACATACACCCTCGCCGTTGCTTCTGGGTTGCAGTTTTCATCTTCTGAAGAGACTCCAAGCAAGAGAAGAAAGCGATGCCTCTCGATATAGAGCAGATTCTCCGTCAAAAGAAGGCCGCAGATGCTGCGGCTGCAAAGCCGCGCTTCATCCCCAAAGCGCAACGCGAGCGCATGGCGGCAGAGCAGGCCAAGAGAGAGGAAGACGACAAAAGGCGCAAAGCTGCCGACGAAGCACAAAAGCGAAGAGATGACGAGAGAAAATGGGAGTCGCGACCCAACGGACCATCATCCACGTCACATAGGATCCCAAATGGCCCAACGCAACCCCCCACGGGGCCTCGAGCCATGAACCAGCGAAAGGGTGACAGCAAGAAGAGCGACAAAGTAAACGGGGACAAAAAGTCTGCCGAGGATATTGAAGCTACGCTATTTAGGTCTCGATATCTGGGCCCTGAAGTGAACCAGCAGTCTAGCTTCTCTGCCAAAAAGAAGCGTATGCGTACGACGGAGAAGAAGTTCAACTTTGAATGGGATCTGGAAGATGACACATCCAGAGACAACGACCCTATATACAAGAACCAGGCTGTCAACAGGGGCGGTTCCCTTGCTGGCTTGGGCGGCGAATTCGACGAGGAAGCCGAGAGACGGGCCCGCAAACGAGCAAGGCTAATTGAGGAGCGAGACGTCGAAAATGGCAAGGAGCGCGCCAAGGGCATCATGGAGGACTTCTACCGTGCGCGAGCTAAAGCCAAGGAGAGAGCGGAGAGGACAGGTCTCGGGCGTCATTGGTCCGAGAAGAAACTTGGGGAGATGCGGGAGCGAGACTGGAGAATATTCAAGGAGGACTTTGGCATCTCTACAAAGGGCGGAGCAATACCTGATCCTATGCGCAGCTGGGAAGAGTCCGGCCTTCCACAACGATTGCTCGACATCGTCGACCGAGTGGGCTACAAGGAACCTACGCCCATCCAAAGAGCAGCCATCCCCATTGCCCTGCAAGCCCGCGATCTGATCGGTGTGGCCGTCACCGGTTCCGGTAAAACAGCAGCCTTCCTTCTTCCCCTCCTCGTGTACATCTCCGACCTGCCCCCCCTCACCGAAGTCAACAAGAACGACGGCCCATACGCTCTTATTCTCGCACCAACCCGTGAACTGGTCCAGCAAATCGAGACGGAAGCCAAAAAGTTTGCTGAGCCCCTGGGCTTCCGCTGCGTCAGCATCGTCGGTGGCCACTCCCTCGAGGAGCAGGCCTTTGCGCTGCGAAACGGCGCAGAAATCATTGTCGCCACGCCCGGCCGTCTAGTCGACTGTATCGAGAGACGACTGCTGGTCCTGTCGCAGTGCTGCTACGTAATCATGGATGAAGCCGATCGCATGATCGACCTCGGTTTCGAAGAGTCCGTCAACAAGATCCTCGACGCTCTCCCCGTCAGCAACGAGAAGCCCGACACAGACGACGCTGAAAATGCGCAGCTCATGAAGTCCTACCTCGGCAGCAGGGACAAGTACCGCCAGACAATGATGTACACGGCCACCATGCCACCGCTCGTGGAACGCATTGCCAAGAAGTACCTCCGTCGTCCCGCCACCGCAACCATAGGCAACGCCGGTGAAGCAGTCGACACTGTCGAGCAGCGTGTGGAGCTGATATCCGGCGAAGACCGCCGCAAGAAGAGGCTACAGGAGATTCTTTCCAAGAACGACTTTGCACCGCCCATTATCGTCTTTGTCAACATCAAGAGGAACTGCGACGCTGTTGCGCGGGATATCAAGTCCATGGGCTGGTCTACCGTCACTCTGCACGGTTCCAAGACGCAGGAGCAGCGAGAGGCTGCACTTGCTTCGGTGCGCTCAGGTGCGACTCAGGTCCTCGTCGCTACGGATCTTGCTGGTCGTGGTATCGATGTGCCGGACGTTTCGCTCGTCGTCAACTTCAACATGGCTACCAGCATTGAGAGTTACACCCACCGTGTCGGTCGTACTGGTCGTGCGGGCAAGAGTGGTGTGGCGATTACCTTCTTGGGCAACGAGGACGCTGATGTCATGTACGACTTGAGGCAGATGCTCAGCAAGAGCTCCATCTCCAAGGTGCCCGAAGAGTTGAAGAGGCACGAGGCGGCGCAGTCGAAGCCCGTCCGGGGTGGTGCCAGGAGGGAGAAGGATGACGCCGCTGCTGGAGGCGGAGGCGGAGGAGGAGGAGCCGGTAAGGGCGGCTGGTGAAGGGTGTACTCATAGAAAGTAAAATTATCAAATGTAATATCATGAATCGTATTAGCGGACAATCATTTATCAAAATCAACATGCAAGAATTGTGTGTTTGTCCCTGTTGCCTCTTGGTGAAGGTGAGTTTGCCAACAAAAGAAAATGAAATAAAAAATAAAACAAATGGAACAATTGTATATTGTTGACTATGTTTACTCTAGCTTGAGCTGCTCACATTGCTTGATAGTCTCCTCAAAACTGATAGCCTCCTGTTTAGCATCTGCCAGTCTCTGCTCGTCTCCCTCACGAACAGCCGCAGAGACCTTCTCTATGTAGCCAGGGTCAAACAGAATCTTCTCCTGCTTCTGGATGCTCATCTTGGCCTTCTCTAGCTTCTTCTGGGCCTTGGATATCTCTGCATCCATATCAACACGGCCCTTGACGTGCAAGAAGACGGCAACAGAAGTGGAAACGGGGTAAGCGACGCATCCAGCAGGGCGGGGAGCATCCGGCCCAATTACGTGCATGGTCTTGACACTCTTGCCGCTAAGGGACTTGATTGATGCAACTTCGGCGTTGCATGTCTTCAAAGCGGCCTCGTTGTACGCTTGGACAAAGACTATATCGTCGAATTGTGATTAGCAATCAATGGGACGAGGGACCGCCACACTACATGGGAACTCACCTTCGGCATTCTCCTTGAGCGAGTACTCCGACATGAGTGATCTGGTTGCCTTTGTAGCGGCCAGAACGAGCTCATACGCAGACTCGGACTCGGGGTCATCCAGTGCAGGGCTATACTGAGGATACTTGGAAACCATGATGGACTTCGTGTTGTCACCAGGTCGGCGGGGCATTCTTTGCCACATCTCTTCTGTAATGTAAGGCATGAACGGGTGAATAAGTGTCAAAGCCCACTCCAAAGCGGTATACAGAGTCTGAAGAGCAGACTGGCGCTCTTCCTCGGTGCCGTCTCGGATGATGGCTTTTGAGTTTTCAATGTAGACATCGCAAAGCTCTGCATACCAGTACTTGTAGATGATGTTGGTAGATTTTTGGAACTCTCTGTCAGCAATTGCGACGTTCAAATCTCTAGCAGCACTGTTCATCTTGTGAAGAATCCATCGCTCGGCCAAGGTCTTGCCTCGGATAACGCCGTCTGCGGCAGGGGCAAAGTCCTTAGGCAGGCTGCCTAGAACATACTTGGTGGCTTGGAACTTGAGGAAGGTCAATCAATATCCGACACAGGTCGCTAATTTTATTATCACTTACAATTTTGTTACAGAACTTGCGGTATCCATGGATACTGAACAATAGGTAAGTTTCAGCACCCAAACATCTGGCATCAGGGGTTCAACTTACACCTTCACATCCAAATTGATATCACCACCACCAGTGCTGGCATTAATCATGGTGAAACGAAGAGCGTCAGCGCCACACTGTGGAATGCCATCAGGGAAGGCAGTTTTCTGGTACTTGGTTGCCTTCTCAACTTCACTGGGATGAAGATTTCCTTGGTAAAGCTTCTGGTGCAGGTCCTCCAGCTTGATACCAGAGATAACATCCAGGGGATCAATGACATTACCCAGACTCTTGCTCATCTTTCTACCCTCAGAGTCACGGACAAGACTGTGGCAGTAGACCTCGCTGAATGGAATCTTTCCGGTCATCTTCAAACCCAGAGTGATCATACGGGCAATCCAGAAGAATAGAATATCCCAGCCGGTCTCAAGGACAGTGGTAGGGTACAAGGTGTCCAAATCATGGGTATTGTTAGGCCAACCCAGGGTGCTGAAGGGCCAGAGCCCAGAGGAAAACCAAGCTATGATGGGTATTAGTAATGTAATATAAAATAAAGGAATGGTATAACTTCTTACTGTCGAGAACATCCTCATCCTGTTCGAGGGTGAACTTCTTGCCTGGCAGGGCGGCCGCAGCCTTCTTCTCCGCCTCCTCGCGAGTTCGTCCAGAGAACCAAAGCTTGTCGTCTGCAGTATCCTTGGCGACGCCTTCAATATTGGCAAAGTAGACGGGGCATCGATGACCCCACCACAATTGTCTACTGATACACCAATCCTGAATATCCTCAAGCCACCTAAAGTAGCTTCTCTCCGCAGTGTCGGGTCTGATCTTGATCTTGCCCTCTCTAACAACTTCTAAAGCTGGTCCAGTAAGCTCCTTCATGCGAACCCACCATTGAGGCTTCATACGGGGCTCGATGACATCCTTTGACTTTTCACACAGTGGTACCTTCATTGCATTATCCTTCTTGTCAACGTACAAGCCCTTCTCCTTCAGAGCATCTTGGATAGAATAACGGACATCGAAACGCTTCTGACCCTTGTATAGACCAGCATTCTCATTCATCAAACCATCGTCGGTGAGAATGTTGATAAACTCGAGATGGTGCTTTTGTCCCAAGTTAAAATCGTTAGGGTCATGAGCAGGGGTCAATTTGACGGCACCAGTTCCGAACTCCATGTCGACGTACTCATCAGCGACGATGGGCAATTTTCGGTCAGGAATAAAAGGATGCACAGCATTCTTGCCCACGAGGTGCTTGTAGCGAGCATCATTAGGATGGACAGCAATCCCGGTATCACCAAGCATGGTCTCAATACGGGTTGTGGCTACCTCAACAGTCTCGTTTGAGCCCTCAATGGGGTATTTGAAGTGAACGATGACGCCAAACTCAACCTTTTTTTCGTACCCTGGTACATCAAGGAGAGTCCGTCCGGTGAGTTCCTTGTTTTCGACTTCTAGGTTGGAGAGTGCGGTATTCAGATGTGTGCACCAGTTGACAAGCCGGTTAGCTCTGTAGATGATACCTTCTTCATGCAGCCGGACAAAAGTTTCGGCGACAGCAGCAGAAAGATTAGCATCCATTGTAAAGGCTGTGTATTGTTAACAGAGAAGTCCAGTAAGCCAGGTGTCGAGAACACATACCCTCGCGACTCCAATCAAATGAACTGCCCATATGTGTCAAGGCCTTGTTGATGCGCTTGTGGTACTCTTCCTTCCATTCCCAGACAGTCTCAACGAACTTGGTCCGGCCGAGATCGTGTCTAGTCTTTCCCTCTTTCCTCCAGAGCATCTTTTCGACAACGCTCTGCGTTGAGATACCCGCGTGGTCGCATCCGGGGAGCCACAGAGTCGTCTTCCCATTCATTCGGTTCCATCGAATCATAAGATCCTGCAAGGAGTCACCTAATGCGTGACCCATGTGCAATGATCCAGTAACGTTTGGAGGCGGATGAACAATAACGAAGCTGCCAGCTTCCTTGACCTTGCCATCGGGCGTGAACTCTGGCTTGAAAAAGCCCTCTTTCTCCCACCAGTCATACCACGCTGATTCTACAGCAATAGGGTCGTAAGCCTTGAAATTGGGGTCCTCAAACGGTCGAATGCGCTTCTTCTCGCCGGCGGGGGTGTCCTCGACATAGGGAGGAACAGCTTCCTCTGCCTTCTTCTCCTTAGCTTTCTTCTCCTTATTGGCGGCGTTTGCGGCCATCTGAGCGGCCTTCGCTTTTTTGGCTTCTATCTTAGCAGCCTTTTCAGCCTTCTTGCGCTCCTTTTCCACTGTATTAAGTTGCCATTAGCAACGATAGGCCATCGCAGCAATGGTGAGGCATGTAAGGACTTACAATCCTTTTCCGATTTCTCTTTAGGAGCTCCATCGGCAGCCCGAGGTGCTCCAATATCAGGAACGGTGGTCTGCGCCGCTGGCTTGGGGGTCTAGGTTACATTAGTTCGGTCTTATTCTCCTCTGATCGATTCGACGGTGGGTTGAATAGTTCGTACTTCGGCTCCCTCGTTTGCCCCAACTACATGATGAATTAGTTGACGTTCCTTGTAAAGACATGCGTAAGCCTCTTCTTACCGGGGCCTCCTCTCGCGCTATTGCTTGCCATGGCGGCACGTGCGGTTGTAGTCAAGGGTCGTCTTGGGGAAACAGAACGCACACGAAGTGCTCGAACTGCTAATCTGAACGTCGTACTGAAGAAGTTTTCCGGAAGCCCGATATGTTTGGGCTTCTACGTCCTCGAGATGAAGAATGAGATCCCAAGGGATATATAGCGGCACTGATGACTCAATGCCCGAGTCTCGGTGCAAGCACGGTTGTTTCTTGAAATTTTGAGTCACTCCACGACACCACCAAACTCGATAAGGTGGGATGAGGAGGGGTCTAGAATGTGGCGGTGTGACTTGGGTTGTACTCCGTATCCGTACCTGGGGCAGCTTCAGCCACATTTTCCAAGCCACACACACTCCGTTCATACCAGTCAGCTCTGTTCAAATCCGGCTTCATTTCACGACGGAATTCCTTCAGTGAGGCAGTATCACCAACGTGGACGCTCAATCATATAATTTTTCTAATAATATTCAAACTGTTTCCACTTACTATATTTCTATTCAGATAATAGCGGCAGCCCGTTTAGCATGGCGCTTTATGCGCAACGTTATATGCTGAGAGGCTTCGCATCAAGATGCTACATAACATCACGGCGCCGGATCTCTACCCTCAAGGTGCCTGACCAAACGCGCTTCTCTTATTTCTTGTCGCCAAAGGTTTGTGATTTCTAACTCTGGACGTGTCATGGAATCATTGCTTAAATCTATAGGACGGGACTCGTGATCTCCTGACGAATCTGAGTGGTCATGCCGTTTTAGAAAATTCACGTGGCCACGACGCTGCTGTTGTTCTCGCAACTCCAGATCTAACCAAGCAGCTTGATGATCAAGAATTCATCTCAGGATTAGTCAAATTGCTTTCAGCATCCGCTAGCATCAGTGATTTCCATCTCCTATGCGCTGTTGTCGACAATATTGCGCCAGCCCTTGGTGACGTTGTCCCTTTGCAGGGCATCTCAGTCCTGCGAGGCAATGTGGATAGTCTCTTGCCTCAGCTATGGCATCCAAATCCACCAAGGGAGAAAGCTGACAAGGATTCTGTTGCGGCACTCACATTCAGCGTGGGAAAGTCGACTGTGACACTGCCCTTGACGCGAACAACATTTCATAATAACAGGGCTTCTACCCTCTTGAGTAACCGCTACAGTCTTTCAGAGGGCCAGCCAGAGCTTAAAGATAGAAAAGAGAAACAATGGCAACATGTACAAATTACGCTTAACCAACCTGTACAGTCAACTACTGACCTTGGGCTATGGGCACCCCTATCACCGGTCACCCGAGCTCGAAAAATAACGGAAAGCTTTGGAAACATTGTACGAGGCATTGAGATTGGTGGCAAATCCACACCGGCCTCAACAGAGTTAGAAGACTCTGTAAACACTATGTTGGCAAATAGAAAAGCAACTGGAAGCGACCAAGGGCCGATGGGAGTCTGGGCTGTGATCACCCCTGAAACATCGGAGTCTGAGTCACTCGTTCTAGCAGACGCTCCTAATCCGGCAGATACTTTGGAGGGCAGAATAGTGCAGCGAAAGGATGTTGAGACAACAGCAAGGTACCTCGAGCAGCAACACCAATTAGGCAGCCGAACCTACCAAGTTTGTGAGTACATATGGTATTTAATGTGCAAAGTATCGCAACTGACGATGTCCGTAGTGAGCGGCGGCGGCGGCTGGGGTCCCAAGAAAGGTCTTTTGTCCCTTGATCCCCAACAGACGCATTTTGCCCTCTCAGAAGCAGAGGAAATGGAAAGGTTTATGAAAACCATGGATAGTTCAGGATTCGCACCTCCAGGTGCTCATATACAATTCTTCGTACCCGCAATGGCATCTCCAGAAATAATCACCTGCCCTGTAACAGGTGTTGTATTTGGAGTTCCATTGGGCATAGAAACATCAGGAGAAGCCGGGACTGCTCCAAAGGGATATTTGGTCGCCGACCATTTCGGGGCTCTATCTAGTCAAGGAGTCTATCTTTCTGGCCGGACAGACGCTGACTCAGCTTCCTGCTATGAGTCGAAGATTAGTGTTCCGGGCTGTAGAATATTCGTCGGAAATCCCGAGGCTAAGCCGGGAGGTTTTTTCAACTTCTTGGGCTCTGGAAGTCTTGCCGATGCTGGAACAATAGCGCTGATGTAACAAATTGCAAACAACAAGCCACTGCATTCATTATGCAATGCATAACTGTAAATGTATTTATACTAGAGGCCCAAAATGAACCTCTAAACGCTGTGGGATGCTGCTCAGCCACTGAACCAAGTCAATGGCTTCCTAACGATGGGCAGGGCTTGCGGAGATTTGAGCAGTATCTCTTCAAGCAGTCCGTGTAGCTTACCCTACTCTGTCTTCTTCCTTTTCCTCTCTAATCCCTCTCCCATCGCGGCTGCAACATCCTCTATACTTTTCCCTCTCACTCTCTTGCCAATCTGCTCCTTTCCAAGAACGGCGTCCTCCGCCACTTCTTTGTATACACCAGCTATACCATGAAACAACTGTTTCGTCCACCCTCCTTCTTCATGCATTGTATCTGAAATCTCTTCCATTTCCTTGACCCATCTATATGCCTTTGGCGGCATAGTTGGCACACTCCGCTCAGCAGCAGTCAGATGGTTCGGGAAAATCTCACCCATTTCTCTTTTCAACTCATCCACTACTCCTAGTCGATGAGCAGTGGTGAAGGACTGCGTAGCTAGCGCAGTGAAACCTTTTGTCATGGCAGCAAAGCACATTTTCAGGCCACTTGCTGCACCAATATCTGGCGAAATAGAGCGCAAGTTGAGCACTTTGGCGAGCTCCGCACCATTCTGTAATGAAGAGAGAGCATGGGGCCCAGAAATGGGAATATTCGGACGTATCCAGTCCGGCTCTTCGTCACTGTTCTTCGAGCCTGCTGCTAGTCTTTGACGGGGAGGAGCGCCGAGGATACATCCGTCGACAAATTGGACTGGAACTCGGGCCCTTCTGAACATTTCGGCCATGCCCTTGGATGTTGAGGGAGAAACAGCATTCAAATCTACAAAAAAAATCGAATGACTTGCCGAGCCTCCAGACAAGGCGTCTGCAATCCGCTGTGCAGTAGCCTCGGCATCGCGCGGTGGTACAACTGAGAGAATTACGGGACATTGCTTCGCAAGTTCAAAGTCCGATGACAGGAGCTCAACATTGGCAGCCTTGGCCCTATCAATAGTATCTTGACTGGGAGAGTGTTAGCTCGTCTGACTTTCTTACCCACGCGCGAAGGGGGAAAAAGTGATTGCTCGCCTTCTGCCTTGACAGTTGGTTGCGACTGAGAATCCATGAGCTATTAATAACTTGGCGATACCGACGCCCATGTCCCCCATGGATAGAATGCCGACCTTGATGACTTTGCGATGACCGGAAGACATTTTAAATGAATCAGAGGTTTTTTGATGATATACTATTCTGGATTTTTGTGGATGTAAGAGTGAAGTCTGGCTTGCAACGATGCGGCGGCGATCAGACTGTTGCCAATTAGTAAGGCTTCAGGGCCCCATCAGTGGTGAGGTGAATCGATTGACGGCGGTTGCAGGAGTGTCATTGCCCTACATATCAAAAACAATAGTTTATTCCATTTCTATACAATGTTTCAACTCTGTAAAGAGAACCCAGAATAATAGTGACCGTTTGATCCTTGCTCCAGCACGCTGCCTAGAGTGTAGAGCATTGAAAGACAGCTAACCACCACAGCTGAATCATAGGGCATCACAAACCATATGCCGCAGGCTCTAGACATCAATGATGCCTAGGTTGGCTCTAGTTTGAATATAACTCCTTAGGGCGCTATTCACGGAACATAATCACTTAATCCTCTGCAATTCATGGCTGAAACGTTGGGTTATCACTGGTCAAGTGGCGAAGGCAGGCTGGCAGGGAGCAAGATACTAGCACAACACAAATCGGGAACCCATATCTGAAGTATAACGATCAGCGCTGTGATCTACTAAGGGAGTATATTGAAGGCTTTGATACACTGCGGATGCCCTCCAGCAGACGGGTGGGCAACCTCTAGCTTTGTTACAAAGGGAATATATGGTCTTTCAACTCAGGGCGTTGCAATTCTCCTTTTTTTATCGAGATTTTTACATGTCCTCCGAGGCGGTGGCACCAGTAATAATTTCGACCAGCTCTCCAGTAATAACGGCCTGTCGGGTACGGTTGTAGAGAATCTGGTACTTTCCAATCATCTCACCAGCGTTCTTGGAGGCGTTCTGAGTGAATTTGTTAGACATGGACTCGATTCGATGTGCACATCATGTTTGAATGTATCACTTACATCCATGGCATTTCGTCGAGCAGAGATCTCGCAAGCGTGACCTTCAGCCAGAGCCCAGTACAGGTTATTGGCGAAACTGTACTCACGAAGGTTGACAAGAGCCTCCTCATCAACCTCAAAGGCGGAGATGTTGGCTATTAGCAAAGATGTTAGCTGGCCTGACGGATTTATTCTTTCCTTCTTTTTGCTGGTATTGCATTCTGGACATACGGGACTGGGAAATAGCCTCCTCGGAAAATGCCTCAACGAAGGTGGGTTCGTGGCTCTGGGCGTTGATGAACTTGTTGTACAGAATCTTGACATCGGTGTACTCAGTGGGAAGCATGACGATCTGGTCGACGATAGCCTGGGCATCGGCAAAAGTGGGAATGTCCTTGCCAACACCAGCGAAGGAAAGCTGGATGCTTTCGGCGTTGGTTCGCTGGAGTTGAGCCTTGCACTTCTCACCAATGATGACGAGGTCAAAAGGCTCAGTGACCTCATTGGCGAGGGCACGAATGCGTCGACTGAGGCCAGAGTGAACACCACCGCAAAGACCCTTGTCGGAAGAGCAGACGATGATGAGGGACTTCTTCTGCTCAGATTCGGGAGCAACCGTCTCGGCGGCTTCGAAGACCTCGTTGGCAGTCTCACCATACTTGCGAGACTCGGTCATGGCACGCTGAGCACGGGTGAGCTTGGTTGACGCAACGATCTTCATTGTGCTGGTAATCTTCTGGATGTTGCGAATAGACTTCAGGCGGCCTTCGATTTCACGAAGGGTCGCGTAGGTGGCAGCTCCATTGGGGCTAGCAGCCGTAGCTCTAAAGACAATAGTCTCGTCAGCAAACCGAGTTCTCCTCACAAGTATCCTTCCAATCGTTTGTCCTTCAATGCAGAGCGGTGCATGGCCTTGACTGTGGCCGTCGTGGTGCTTTTTCGCTGCGAATCGTCCGGCTATTCGGTACAAATCTCGGGGCTATGCAATCTCCTAAACTTACCGCGCAGGAGCTGTGACCGCAGCACGAAGAGCCGGACGAGCCGCCCTCGACAACATCGTGGCAATTGTGAGAAGACGAAAGGAGCCTCTGGCCAACGGTGACCCAATTGATCGCGATGTACGGATCAATTGATTTCGGGAAGTGGTTCGTAGTTGATCGGATGAGGTGTATGCGGTCGGTGGTTTTGCTCCAACGCTATTTTCCCGGCAAATTAGCGGCTAAGAGAAGTCACGTGATCCTAGGCTAGCTGCTCGGCCTACCCTCCGGGCATGCTGAAGAAAACACGATCGATGCCCTCGATTTCATTCTTAGTCCTGCCATTATTTAGGCTTCCTGCCCAAGGCGGTTGATTTCTCTCCCTCTTCTCCTTCTCCAGGCGTTGAGGGGTAACTACATTTACATTTTCTCCCAGTCTTCGCTTCACTTCTGCACTCGTTCGATTTCGTGTGATACGTTGATGCTGAGATCCATCCGTCAGCGCCAGCTTTCTATCGAACCCAAACCGCGACCCAGGAACCACAAAGATGAGTTCCGACAGCTCCGACGACGACAGACCTCTTGCTAGGCCTAATGGACACCGTAAGTGTTTTTCTTTTAACTTCAAAAGTCCTCCGTCTTTTTTCTCCCCAGATCCATCCTTGCACCAGCGATGCTCACCAACCACGGCCTTGTCAGCCTTTGTGAACTCCCTCTGCTGGTGCCTGTTAGGCCCAGGGCAATCTGCCTATAGGAGGCTCAAAGCTAACACTTTTCTCTAATAGTTTCATCCGCTAAAGTGTCGCGCGCCGAGGACCAGGCCTTGGATCGTTCACAACCACGAAAGTCGAGCGGTATGACAGGCATTGTGGTTCGCAATGGTCAAGTTGATGATGCCATGGACCTAGACGCCCCGAATGGCGTCAACAAGCGCAAGTCACGATCGTCCATCTCTAAAGTCAGTTATAGAGATGAATCTGATAGCGACGGTGAGCCACTGGTAGGTCCATAGCCTTTCTTCCTCTTCCAGTACATACTTGAAAGTTGAATGAAAATTTTAACCCTCCCATTACAGGCCAAACGTCCAAGACCCTCTGCCAGGCCAGTCGACTCCGACTCCGACGATGAGCCAATCAGCAAAGTCAAAGCAAAGAAGAAATCAACATCTATGCTGGCTGATTCGTCTGATGATGAGAAGCCACTAGGCATCCAGTTGGCGAAGAAGAAGGCCGCCATTGAGAAGAAGGCAGCTCGTGAAGCACAGACCATTCGTTCAAAGGAGACTGCCAAGTCGACTCCTAAGAAGAACATCAAAGAAGAATCTGATGACGAGCCCTTGGCCAAGTCGTCTGCTAACAAACGCCAGTCAAATGGCGCTTCAGCCAAACGCAAATCCAACGGTGTCAAAAAAGAAGAGTCCGACTCTGACGCCCCTATTTCGAAGAAGACCAAAGCTAAAGGCAAGACCACAGCGTCTTCTAAGGGGAAAAGCACTGCTTCGACCAAGGACTCCAAGAAGGCCAAGGTCAAGGAGACCAGTGAAGATGAGGAAGGATATGCATGGTGGAACGCGCCAAAACCCGAGGATGACAGCATCAAGTGGCAGACTCTCGAGCACAATGGGGTTCTCTTTGCTCCTGAATACGAACCACTTCCAAAGAACGTCAAGCTCCTTTATGACGGCAAGCCGGTTACCCTAAGTAAGGAGGCTGAGGAGGTGGCAACTTTCTGGGTTGCCATGATGACACCCGCCTCATCGCATCACTTGGATAATCCAGTCTTCCGTAATAACTTTTTCACCGATTTCTCAGAGATTGTGAAGAAAAATGGGGGCGCTACAGATCGAGAGGGAAACAAAGTTCAGATTAAGAGTCTGGACAAGTGCGACTTCTCCAAAATTTATGATCACTGGCTCGCCAAGACAGAAGCGAATAAAACAAAGAACTTGTCAAAGGAAGAAAAAGAAGCCGCCAAAGCAAAGAAGGATGCTCTCGAAGCGCCATATCTCCATTGCATCTGGGATGGCAGAAAGCAAAAAGTTGGCAACTTCAGAGTGGAACCGCCGAGTCTTTTCCGAGGCCGTGGCGAGCACCCCAAGACTGGTCGTGTTAAGACTCGAGTTTTTCCTGAACAAATAACCATCAATATTGGTAAAGATGCCAAGATCCCGGAACCTCCTGCTGGACATAAATGGAAAGCCGTCCAGCACGATCAGAAGGCCACCTGGCTTGCCATGTGGCAAGAAAATATTAACGGCGCCTACAAGTACGTGATGCTTGGTGCTGCCAGTGATGTAAAGGGCCAAAGCGATTACAAGAAGTTCGAGAAAGCTCGTGAGCTGAAGAAATACATTGACAAGATCCGCAAGGATTATACTCGGGAACTAAAGAGTGAAGTCATGGCTGATCGCCAGCGAGCCACGGCAATGTATTTGATTGATCAACTGGCTCTCAGAGCCGGAAACGAGAAAGACACTGAAAACGAGGCTGATACGGTGGGCTGTTGCTCGCTGAAGTATGAGCACATTACACTTGAGCCACCTAACAAGGTTACTTTTGACTTCTTGGGTAAGGACAGTATCAGATACAACGAAACTGCCTTCGTTGAACCTCAAGTCTTCAAGAATTTGAAACTCTTCAAGAAGGCACCAAAATCTGATGGAGATGATCTTTTCGACCGTCTGACTGTGAGTCTAGAATCCAAACGTTGCTATTACTCGCTTCTATTCTCCGTTCTCGTGGCTAACTCGAGATATCTAGACCTCACAACTGAACAAGCATCTCAATAGTTACATGACGGGTTTAACGGCAAAAGTATTCCGTACCTACAATGCATCATACACCATGTCAACATTGTTGAAGGAGCTGTCGCAAGATCCTCGATCGAAAGGCTCCATTGCTGAAAAGGTGAAGCTCTACAATGACTGCAATCGCAAGGTTGCCATTCTATGTAACCACAAGCGAACCGTCGGCGCAGGCCATGAGCAGCAGATGCAGAAAATGGGCGATCGGGTAAGCAAACAGCAGCATCCCATTCTCCTTGCGATAAATTCTAATAATACATTTCCAGATCAAAGGTTTGCGTTACCAAAAATGGCGAACTAAGAAGATGATACTCGACCTCGAGCCCTCCTACAAGAAAAAGAAAGGCGCTAGTTGGTTTGAGCTCGACGAAGATCTTGACCAGGAGTGGATTCAGGAGCATCAACAGTTTCTCATCGAGGAACAACGCACCAAGATCACCAAGAAGTTTGAGAAAGATAACGAAAAACGCAAAGCCAACAAGGAGAAGCCCATGCCTGAAAAGGAACTAAAGGAGCGCCTCCAGGTGGTCAAGGATCTTGAAACCAAGTTTAGAAAAGAGAACAAAATTGGCAAGGTTGAAGCAGAGGGTAGAGGCGCATCCGTTGACAAGTATCTTAAGGCTATTGAGAAACTTGATGAGCGAGTCAAAGTTCTCGAAACCCAGGCCGAAGATCGTGACGGAAACAAAGAGGTTGCCCTGGGCACTTCAAAGATTGTAAGTCTTGAAAACCGAAGGTTATGCACTGTCAAGCTAACTTCCGATAGAATTACATCGATCCTCGTCTGACGGTTGTCTTTGCTAAGAAGTTTGACGTGCCCATCGAAAAGTTCTTCTCTAAGACTCTCAGAGATAAATTCCGATGGGCTATCAAGTCAGTCGAGGACACAGAAGATTGGGAGTTTTAAACGCACTCGTTACATCAATATATTTATATAAAGCGTGTTTCACCAATCGAAAAATAAAGAAAAAAAATTAAGCTTTCTTTGTCGGCAGAGAGCTTTGATTATACATATACGGGGATTCGGTCACACATCATTTCGCAAAAAAGACATGGGCGAGATGACGACTTGTACGATGGAGCATTGGTACGGCGAACCGGATCAAGTGGCGCAATGGTGAGTGGAAGGGCTTCCTCAATGCAGTGATTCCACTGGGGCTTTGACACTCTTTGGAAACGCGGTATCGTATATATCTCTTTTTAAGCTCATCTCGAATATATATACGCGGGTGTCTGAAAGCACAGTGTGAATGGGACGCAATTTCCGGGCCCGGTGGTAAGGGTGAAGACCTCGAGGGTGTTCCTCGTGAATGTTTTTTGATTTTAGATAAGGCAGTTCGTTCTACAGAGTAGAAGGCAGAATCAATTACTAGCTTTGCTTTGCACAATGATATTTTCGTTCAAGTAACATGGGCATGAATGAGTGAGTCAACACAACCAACATGTGAGCTATGTGAGCTATGTAACACATGACATTGGGATGAGGTTTGTATCACGGCGAAACACTACGCATGCAAGAACTTGTCAGCGTCTCAGGTAAGTGCATTGTCAAAGCGACGTGCTTGGTCTATCAATATATTCTTCGTATGGTATAATGCGTCTCCGTGCCAATCTTCGGCCTACCATCAATCATGCAGTGTTCTACACTAATATCTATCTACCGCATCACATTCAAGGACCACATTACATGCCACCCTACCGTCATACCGCAACACAATATGTGTTTCAACGAGAAATCTAAACAAGTTTCGAGACCGCATATGCACACTGTCGATCTCTGTATCTCCCAAAATGCCAAAATGCCAAAATGTGCGGGTAAATCAGAACGTCAGACCGGTTCCGTTTCATGCCAAAACACCGTTTATATATATACCATCCGATTTTGCCGAATGCCGCCAAAAAAAACCAAATGTCAAACGCCGGGCTAGTATCAGGAATATATCCACCATTATGCCAAAAAGAAAAAAAAATAGGCGAAGAAGGGGAGGGGCGCAGCAATCGTACACGCTTCAGGGGCAAAAACAAAAAAAGGCGGATGCAAACAACTACCAAAGACGGTAGAAAAACACCACGACGCCCAGCGTCAGAGGTCCTAAAATAGCAACGGAGAAGGAGGCCGACTTTTGCAAGGCCGCGGCGTTGCTGCGCATAATCTTGCCGTTGGAATTGATGTACCAGCCGCTGGGGACGGTTCCGCCGCTGGGACTGGCGCTGGCCACCCACGGCCAACCTGTCTGCGTGGCCGTCGCGGGACTCCCGTCCTTGGCTATGCCGCCGACGGGGATGGGCACGATGCCCGTCGTGGTCGGGGCGGTTCCGACGGCGGTGGCCGTGACGGTGAGGGAGTTGCCCTTGCCGAAGTTGCCGTTGACAGAGCCGTCGACGGCCTCGATGGACTGCCAGGATCCGGAGGAGTCCTTGTACCTGTACTGCTTGCCCGTGGAGTAGTCGGAGATGACGACTCTCTGGACGAGCATGCTGAAGGGGCCCTTGGAGTAGTCGGTCGGTCCGCGGGCCCATTCCACGGTGCCGGCGGCGTTGGTGCTGGGGTCGCCGCCGGCCCAGGCGCCAAACTTGACCTGCATCGGCGTCTGGGGGTACTGGTTGGCCTGGGCTTCGGAGGCCTTGAGCTCGCGGACGACCTTGCCGCCGGCCATCCAGATGATGCGGTCCTGCGTCCAGTCGATGGTGTAGGTAATGAAGCCGGCCTGGGTGCCGCTGACGGAGTGGAACTGGCCGCGGTTGTAGGTGGTGGTCTGGCCCTTGCCAAAGTAGTTTGACTGGATCTCGTCCGGGTTGGTGCCGAGCCACTCGATGTCGATCTCGTCGAGGGCGTCGGATTCGAGGACCAGCGAGGAGACGATTCCTGCGCCGGGCGCGGCCTTCATGGTGATTTCGACGCGGCCAAACATGATGTAGAAGAGGGACGCGAGCTGCGGCGCGTCACCGCTTCGGGAGACGGTGAAGGACACGCCGTCGCGGCCGTAGCTCGGGGTGCCGGATGCCGCGAAGGAGTTGACGGCGCCTTTGCTGAAGTCGACGTTGACTGCCATCCCGAGCGCCGTGTCGGGGGGACATTGTCCTGGAGAGCAGCATGTCAGTTGTTGTTTCAATGGATAGGAGCATCTCCAACGTTGTTTGAGCCGGACCTACCCCCCTGGACTGGATTGCAGCGGCTCCAAGTTTGAGCTCGCCCTGGCTGGAAGCAGGTCGCTGCTGCAGCCACTGCCGTCGCAGCCTTGAATATGCCCCTCATGGCGGTTATGTGATGGTTATGTGATGGGCACTTGGTGTCAGCCGATGTGTGCAGTCGTGGTGGTCTCAACGCCGCTCGACGGAATGTGCTCTGTCTGATGTGTTCCAAGTTGAAAATAGCATGTATGCACGCAGCATGCAAAGGAAGGAATCGACGGGCGTATATCAGTCCCAGCACGTTGGGCACCGCCGTACTCGGTACCCCAGCCATCAACAATCTGTCGTCATCCCAGCAGAGCAGGTAGCAAGCATCCCCAGTTTTCCATCCCGGGTCAGAATCTGGCACAGCTGTGCCAAGTCGATTGAGAGGCACATGATTGGCTACGGATGAATCAGCTGTTGCATTCAACGGGAGGAGAAGGGAGGACTCCGTAACTCACTGCGAATATTGGAGGCTGGGCCGCATTGAATGCGCACTCCGTTAATCTTCAATCTGTTTTGCCTTGGCCGTCGGTGGGTTTGTAGACATTGGAGGAGGTCGGGCAAACATTGAAGTGGCTGGGGTGGGGGCATCAGGCACGATGCCAGCTCGGGTACATCCGCGGCACATGGCCCGTTTCGGAAGGTGGGCTACCCTATAGCACATTGCAGTACTCGGTCGGTTATCCTGGCTTCATTCTTCTTCCTTCTCTCATCCTATACTCTGTACTATGTCAGTGACTAAGCGCCACTTGGCACCAGCAGCCTGTATTCGGTATTCGCACCAGTGGTGGCGTCAATGCCATGATGTTGGGCCCAGTGGGTTTGCAGTCGCTTAGTGCCAACTAGTTCCAACGCCATGATATTATGCTGTGCTCATGTAGAGAATGCCTACACTGCACGCCGCCAGGCCTTTGAAATGTCAAAGCGTTGTCGAAACCTGCAAACTGTATCCCGGAAAAAACGCAACGCCACACAAACTCAACAAGGTGGGCTTGTCTGTGACTTAGCCATCCATGACTTGTCCGCAGACCAGCTGGAGATGGCCGATGTCCAATACCGCAAAAAGTCTAAAAAACCCCAGACAAAATCAACTCCCAGCAAGGGACCGAGTACGCCTCAACTGCGTTGTAAACCTAGCTGAGTGCTCAAACGCGCGCCGTCCATCAGCCATGTGCGCGCATCTCGCATCTCGCATCTCTGCTTTCGCATTTCGCATCTCACATCTTGCCAACGATATGCCAGAGCGAGGAACGCACCTCGGTGACCATGACGCGTTGTCGCTCGCACCCACATCTGCTGCATGCCTCGCACTGCACGTTTGACACGAAGCCGCTCGCCATATCGAGACACATCAATTCTGCGAGACTTTGCGAGCCCACTCTCCCCGCACCCTGAGACGGTGATGCCGCCCAGATATCAGATGTGGTTGGACGAAGCCGAGAGCCGCATGCCGCCGCGCACTTCAGATCGCGGCTAGCCTTCATCCGAACACGCCAGTAGCGACAGCCAAGAAGACTGTTCTGCGTCCCAAGCTGCGCACGCTCCGCCGTCCGATGACACTAGTAGTATTCTTGTTAGTCTGCAGATAAAAGACGCATTTTGGCACAGACGAGTGCCGTTGGGCGAGCCTGGCACCTAGCACAGTCCCCGCCAACGCCGAAGAGGCATTGAGGATAAAGGGAAAAGAGAAGGGAAAAAAACGCACTCTGAGCATCAGATATCGCCTCTCGCCGCCCAAGCATGTATCATGTGGCATTGACCGTAACCCGTAACTCTGGGGAGCCCTCCGCCACCGTCTCAGTCTCACTCGCGTCACGCCCCTCGTTCTGAACAGAGGGGGGGGCCCAAACGACAAATGTTGGACGTGCCAGCGCCTATGGCAAGAATATAGAGGTCAATATCTGGCAATGACACTGTTGAGCATGTACGGAGTACTTCGTAGGCTTGTGGCCGCTTCCGTGGCTGGCCATGGCTGACAGCTAACCTGGCTGTCCTGTGTCCTGCTCAATCTTGTAGAGTGGCAGTAAACTGGGATCTTGACACCAAGTGGTTTGCAATAGTATTCGAAACAAAGATGGCGCATGTGGTATGGAGTGCCTGGCGAGGAGAATACTTCAAAATAGACGAGCCAACCAACGCCGTCGTAAAATACCAGTAACAACAAACTCCGCCTCCGCCCCTTGGCAGGGGAAAAAAAAAAGATCGCCAGGCAAAGATGCGGAAACAGACGCTAGCTTTTGCCCTGTCTCAGAGCTAGTACTCCCATTCCTTGCTGAGCATCTCTTTTCTATCTCTTCTTTTTTTTCTTTCCCCCCCTGTCAACTGGAGGACCAGGGCTGGCGCACGAGTACCGTTTTCCAACTGCGTACCCTGTACCTCAGCCCTCCACGCTAGTCTTTCTTCAGCAGTTTAGACAACGCAGAGCGACAAGTAAAGCATTATGGGCTGTGAAAAGCACTTCTAGACTGTATAGAGTCGCTCAACGAACCGGAGCAAGCGCCGGACAGGAAAAAAAAAAGAGAGAACAAAGGATAAAAAGAAATCGTAACCAAGAAGAAAAAGGAAGCACTGCATAGATAGCCGCCACCAGCCGCCACGAGAAAAGATGAGATGAGATCTGAGTGATCAGACTCGGCCATCCTTTGTACATACATGCGGTACCAGGATATGCTTACCAGTTATCCTTCCGCGAGCCACCCCCACGGAGAATTCAGAAAGAGATCAATACCGACAGAATGGCAAGTCAAAAGCTGACCTGGCACTAGTATTGGATGTACACATGTTCGTGCGAGATACTACCTGGTGAACCCTGACGCCACTGTGACCACCTTGTTTCGAAACAGCACAAGGTCCCAGCCAAGAACAATTGCCATATTGCGCAAAAGCATCCATCCATTGTTTGCTTCTTGCTGCCTCTTCGTCCATTTATACTCTGTACACACTGGCCGCGACTCATATAATACGGGGCATGCCGTGTCCTATTCGCTGGCTCATGGTCGTCTTCAGGAACACGGACCGAGTAACCATGTGTTTGCCGCGGGCTCTGGATTGAACTCGGGTGAGCTATCAAGATCATTTCTGATGAATAGCCTGTAGTAAATTTCCAACGAGTGTGATGCGAAACAACGAGACAAAAGGCATACTACCACTACAACACGTAGGACAACACGTAAGACTATACACGACAGGTTCCGTGGTTGTACGAATTGCCTTTGTCTATTTCCGATACATCAGTGTGAGTATTGGCTGCAGGTTGCAAAGATGATAACTACTTAGACCTAACTTAGGTATGCAGATGTACAATACCCGTTCACCTATACCGCGGCGTACACTCCGCTCTGGAGCTGCGCTAACTGAGAATTTAAAAAATTGCAAGTAGTATCCGGAAGTTGCCATGGGGTTTAAACATGCGTTGCATCAGGCTGCCTGTGCTAGTCGGGCACTTCATCCAGTTGTCGCAGAGTTACACCAGACAACACAGCGTTTGGTCTGGTCTGGTCTGGGATGAGCACATGCCGGGCGCCCAGGGCTCCAGACACCTGCCAAATACCGATTCCTGTCTCTGCCGAAGGCAACCTAACATGGGAAACTACTGCTCCGTACTGGTTGTACTAGCATGTAATATAATTAGCTTTATTGACCCTTCGGAGAAGATTGTGGTGGATCCGCTGGCCTTCTCGAAGGTTTGCTAGCAAGGTTTCGGAGTACGTAGTAACTTATGTAGTACTACTAGTAGTTAAAAGAGAGCACCAACTTGGACATGGGTTTCTTAGTCTCTGCCGCCGTACAAGGAACCTTGGCCTCATTTCGGGCAGAGATACAACAAATTCCGCGCAAAGGAACAGGTGGTGCAAAGAACTAGGGTTGCTGCTGTCTCCGAGTGCAGTTGGCTGAAGAGGACCAAAGAAGGATCCATTGCATCCCATATTGCGCGACGGCGCGTTACCTCGATCGAGTCCCTCTCCATTGGCGTATGCTCTGAAACTATGCCGTACGCTGTAATCCCTAGTCTGGACCAAATACATATGTTGGAGAACATGTCTTACACGTGAACCAACAATATACCATGACCAACTTGGACCACCAGTTCTCTCGGGTAATACCCACTCGTTCATCTCGCAAGAGATATGACGGCCGAGACTGTCGGCCAACCGAGTCCATCCCAATTTGCCATGGTAGTATTACAACTTTTTGGGTCTCCATATTTGGCATCTTCCAGAACCATACCAACGTATTTTTCCTGCAATAAACCCGGGGATGAACCAAACTTGAACGACTAGGGCCGGTAGTAAGTACATACAATGCTAGTGTACCATTCCTGGGTTCATTTTGGATGATGAGATTGGCCTGGCGAGACGGCTGGCACCCGGGCCGTTGGTCTGACCCATGCCTAGTCAACCACACAACTGTGGCGTTTTCAAATAACTCGGGTCGTTCTCCAGGGTCTGATTTATGACCATCATTTCGAGCACCTACTAGCTATGCCACTTTTTGATGCAAAATTGCGGGCACCTGATGATCAACTTCTATCATTGGGAGGTTGTGGCCGTGTCAAACAAGACAAACACCATAGTAGTAGTACTACATAGGTCTTCGATGCCCAAACCTCGCATGATTTGCCGTCCCCCCCTGGTTGTGGCAACTGCCCTTGGATTTCGTCATTGCGGTTATTCGGACCAGGATTGCAAACATATCCCAGGGTCCTCCAAGAACTTGACTCCAATTGATGGACTTCTTCATAATCCGGAGCTCCGGTGGTGTCCAGACCTGTTAAACAGTAGCTACTATTTCTCGGTTCTGTTTTGTTTAAACCCCAGACACCGGATGAATGTTGAAGACACACCAGATGATAATCAGGCTACAAATGCAGCAAGTCGGGTGGGCCTGTATAGAAACATACGACGGCCCAACCACACTGTCGGTGGCAAAATGCTCATAACCAAGAACTAGGCCAGGGCGGTGGACTGTCGTCAAGGGTCCTGGACATCGAAGCAGGCATGGAGCGCAAAGTTCAATGTTGGCTCGCCTCTTTGACAGGGTTTGTTCAACCCGGTTCCGCGAGTGGAACAGCCTTGGCTC